CTGTTGCTGATTCAACATTAGAACACGACCGGCCTTGACAATTTGTACATGCCAGAGAACAAAACAGTACAACTTTTTTGCAACCACATTTAGCACTGCATCCCTTTTTATAGTTGCAAAAAATACAGTCTGAATTGGTTCTAATGTATTGTCGACCAACTTCCAACCCCAGTCTTTTGGGGCTAGCTAATAACCAAGCCACACTTGAACTTGGTAATATGTATACCCGAAAAAGATGTCGATGAGCAGCAACTCAGGTTGGAGGAAGACAAGCTAATTGCACTTGTTTTTTATTTCCAGTGTTTTTAACGAAACATACATATCGATACTTAATCTAAGCAGGTAGTTTTTAAGGGGTTGGGTTTCATTTTACCTGATATTCTCATAGTTATACTTAGGTATATTTTATATTTTAAGTGTAAGTTACAATCACCTATGGAAAAATATGTTTACTTATATTACAGCTTCAGAGATGTATATACGTGGCGTCATATGACGATTACAACTTTTACAACTTTTTGAATCGTTATATCTCAGAAACGGTGGCTCTTAGGAAACAAAGTATTGATACATTTTTTATAGATAATTTTATGATCTACAATTTTTGTCAGAGGTAATTTTATAATAAAACGTACCGTTTAGCTGAAAATCGCGAAAAGCCCATTTTTTTTACCTTTGACCTCGAGTAAATTTTTTTCCGAGTACCGGAACGACGAGGAATTTTAATTTTATTTTCAATTATGTTTTAAACAATTTTACTCACTTTCAGCTTGTTGTAATTGTATCTCTTATTTTTGGTCTAATTTGATCGGACTAAAGGTGGACAATCCGAAAATTCATAAGATTTTTTTGTTTACTTCTGAAATTGTTCCAATATTTTTAATACAATGACTCATGACTCATGACCAGTACAGAGTAATATACAGGATGTTACAGGGGAGTCAATCTGCGCATGATTTTAAACAAAAAAGTTCATATAAACATATATTCGTAAATGTTTCGTTACCATGACACAGGATATTGAAGTTTCAATATTTTTTCTGTTTTTTCTATCTATCTCTCACAGTTTTTGAGATATGTAGCTCAAATTTGGAAAGTAGGCGAACTTAGATTACCTGCATCATTACCTGGCAAACCAAATACACTGTAAAAAAACCGGTGTGAGTGAATCAATTGAGTACATTTTCACTCAATATTGGGCAGACTTAAATAAATTCTTCACGTAAACTCGTATTTGGTGCGCTTGTACCTAAATCATAGTAAATGTCCTCATTACTGGGTGATCCCACCCTTTTTCATATCCAGATGTATTGTCTCTCGTCACTGTGGCGTGGTGGATGGCAGTATGGCGTATGGTGTGCTATGGAGTTGGACAAGTATTGGTTTATCTGGTTATTCTAGTGAAAATTGTATCTAAATGCAGTGATTTAATAATTACAATAATTAAAGACAATATATTAAGTCTCGATTAATACTCATCTTCAAAAAAATTGGCCACCCTAAAGTATTTCATAAAAGAACCATTCATTATCAATTCAAGTTGCAACGAATAACTAAGAAAAAAAAAATTTAAGACAAAATTTAATTTAATTAAAACAATAACACATACGGAACATAAATACACTTTTTTCTTATGTCTAAAAAATTATGATGGGTATTTTTAATGGCCTTCCTGGTTATTGTTAATAGCGTGTATGTCCTCCTCGAGTCTCAATTGCAGCATTCAACCTTCGTGACATTGAGTCAACTAAATTTTTGAAGCGTATTTGGGGAATTGCTTCGCATTCTTCTTGAATGACCAGTCTTAGCTTTTAAAGTCGACGACGAATAGCCCTCTCAAGTTCATCCCAATGATGTTCAATTGGGTTAAAGTCCGGGCTACATGCAGCCCAATCAAGTCTACGAATACCGACCTCGTTTAAATATTCAGTTACGATTCGTGCGTTGTCGTGTATTAAAACGAAGTCATATCCAATAATATACGAAAATGGAACGACATCTTCTTGAAGAATATCTTCCACATATCTGCGGGCGTTCAAAACTCCATTATCCACAAATATGTGGTCGGTACGTGCGATCGCAGAAATGCCCGTCCACACCATAACAGAACCTCCTTTAAAAGATGCTCATTCAGAGATGGTGCAATCTGAATATCGTTCAGTTTGTCTTCTCCACACCCTTTCCCGACCATCAGGTGCAATTTATATGTAATCGCGCAAACTGAAGACGTGCCTTCAATGCCTAAGTAGCAATCGTGGTCCTGTGGTGGGCCTCAGTGAAGATTAACCATTTATTACAAGCCTCCTCCTAACCGTACTATATGTCTTTAATGTGATAACAGATTATTGACATTACACCATTCTATGAATTTAACTATGTATGTATGTATGTCGGAGGTGTGGTGGAATTGTCTTTCACCGCGGCACTTAGGCCTTTTTAGGCCCCTTGTACACCCTCCTTCATTACTCGAGTACTTTTCTTCAAACCATCCTATTTACTACGCAGGTGGCTTGGTAGCAAAGTCTCGTACAGTTTATGTATGATAGCATGGTCTTGAGTTGCAGAGATTTCTTGCTCTGTCCTTATTACCATTTATCGGGGACCACACGCGTGCGGCAAATGTTGGGCGACCCAGGTCTCTTGGTAGGCTGCCACAGCCACGTCCCCGAGCCTGCCTTAGGTCACCCATCCAAATTCCAGCCCAAGTCCGTGATGCTTGACTCGGCAGATCGAAATCCACCGGCCAAGACCCGGCCCGGCTAGGCGGTACCCATGAATTTAACTAATTGCGATTGTAAATTTCAATTCAAATAGCAAAAATGCAGGTGGACCGAGATTAGACCTCTGAGGTACTCCTGAGATAAAAATATCCAGACTGGTAGCATTGTATGCTACTTATTGGGACCAATCCATGAAATAGGATTTATATAGTGACTGTAACACACAACCGAAACCAAACCTTGATAAGAGCATTGAATGACTTTTGCTACAAAACGTCTTCAGGAGTTCTTGTACATGTCAAATTGTCCTTGGTAGTCCAAGACATCTGAAATATATTTAATTGGTACAAGTAAATTGGTCATTGTTGCTCTTTGACTTATCAAGCCATGTTGTGGAATGAATATGACCAGAAAGACGTCTCTTGGGAATACATTGGTACAATGATATACTTATTTACATTGGATTTCCCTGTTATGTACCATCTTTTCCTTTCATCAATCAACACTTTGTGTCATATCCCGTCTTTAAAGGATCATGGAGGCTTTAATGATTGTTTTAAGGAAAAATATTACTATTGTTTTTTATTTACTTGGTCGAAAGGAATCACCCTTCAGAGATTGTCACAAAAGCCCTACATTTTAGAACGTCATAATATTCATGAAGTGGTTGTACTCTAGAAATAGAAAAATTGACAATATTAATTGCTTACTGTAATCTTGCGACCCGTGTGGTAGTGAGTAATTAAAATCGCCAATTAAATGAATGGAGCCAGGGTATGATGACCTAAGATGAGATCAATTATTATAAAACAACCTGCGACCAGATGTCGAACGTGTCCCATTGAAATTGCCAGTCGCTAGCCTTCGGCTATGTAACAATAATTACTTCCGCAAAAGTTCTGTTTTATACTTATTTCAGCAGACGCTAGTATACAAGCTATTAAATAATCACGCCGCATTACATTCTCGCCTGTTTAAGCTGATATGATTACGTGCGTGGACATTCTTATCCTCATAGTACGGGAGTAGTGCCAGAAAATGGATAACTTATACCTGAAAAAGTCGATATGGGTTGGTAAATATGAAATCATACTGATAAGAACTAATTAGTGCGAAACTGGTCTATATCTGATGATTCCACTGACGAATTACACAAGTCAATGCTGGGCAGGGCTGTAGTCCGCAGAGTAGTTGTTTCCCATAATATCATTAGTTGAAAAATATTTTCTATTGATAAAATCGGTCTATTCTCGAATTGTTTTAAATATTTAATCTACCACATAGTTGCAAAAATCGAAAATAAAATAAAAAAAATTAAATTTAATTAAATTAAAAATAAAATTCTCTTATTTCAGAAAAAAATGTATTTGTTATAAAATACAACTCTTTGAGCGTTTCTAGGTAACAGTTATTGTTTCTTTTTGCTTTTAATTAGTAGAATCAGTCTACATCGAGAATAAAAAATAATTTAAATTAAAAACAAGATATATTTCTCTATATTCCAAGAAGTTGTCTTCAAAATCAATGCTTTAGATTTAAACCATTGATTTCCTGAAATATGACGTAAATACCCAGTATCAAACTATTATATTTTTTAAAATTTATATAAAAAAATTGGTTTCAAAAAAGAATCAAATTCGTTCAGGATGTCGACATCGACAACAGTGAATTGCAATTTGTTAATTTTTTATGGATTTTTTTTTGTCAGAACTCTTACGCGACCCCCGAACTACAACGCTGAATTTTTTCGCGTTAGTTGGAAAAGCAAACAGCGCTTTCACTCGAAATGTAACTTACAGAGTTGTATAACGACATACATATAGGCATAATAGAATACGTAACTGTTTAGCAGATATAATGCAATACAACGATCGAATTGACCTCTGACTATATCCAGGTGTGCCACTGTTCCTGTATAGGAGGGGCAGGGAGGGGGAGACTTTCAATGCAACTAATTTATGGCTGAAAGTTTACGAGTCTATTAAACATTATTTTAGAATTGCTCGATTATAATTATAATTTTATTATGGAGTGTACAACTAAAAATTTAGTGTGTCAAAGAATAACAATAAAAAAGTTTCTGCTCCCTTAATTTTTTTGCTGAGTGTATAACTCGAAATGTTTATAGATTGTTTAATCTATGGAAAAAGTATCAAGTATGATCTTATAAAAAAATAATTAAATTCATGCATGGTTGAAAATTTTTGATTGTTGAACAATCATTTGACATTGTCGCCAATTTGAAGGGGTAGTAAAATTAAGGAATATTCCTTGTTGCAGGTTACCATGGCAGGCGATTTTATTTTAGCCGTAGCTTCGATGATGATAGCCAGATTACGCAACAATGACGTCACATCGGTTCTTAGCCAGGTAAAAGTTATTAATGCAGCTCATTAAGTCATTTGTTTCCTTATTCTAAGTTTTTCGAGACTTTTTTTTAATTTTCACAGGTAGTAACAGACCTAGTTCAAGGCGAATTCATGCAGTTGGGCTCCAAGGAGACGGAGAACGAAAGATTCGCCCATTACTTAACAAAAACCTACAGGAAAACGGCTTCCCTCATGGCCAATTCTCTAAAATCAGTAAGTATTTTTCTTTGTTAGGGATAATGTGCCTCAGGGGTCTATTTCTGGGCCTATATTATTCTAAGACCGTATTAACGATCGATGAAACCTCCAGGTATCAATACTCGCTGGTGCTGAGGAGCAGCTGTCAGACATCTCTTATCAGTATGGTCGAAACTTGGGACTTGCTTTCCAACTAGTCGACGACCTGTTAGATTTCGTTTCTTCAGCCGAAGCCATGGGGAAACCGACGGCTACCGACTTGAAGTTAGGCTTGGCTACGGCTCCCGTCCTCTTTGCTTGCGAAAAGGTGATAATTCTTTGATGTTAGCATTGCCCAAAACATTCTGGGCAGCTGTACTAATTAACCATTAAGTGGTCACTCCGCATATCCATTGCTTCTCTTGAATTACAGTACCCTGAACTAAACCCCATGATAATGAGGAGGTTTCAAGAGCCGGGAGATGTCGAGAAGGCGTTCGAGCTGGTCCACAAGTCCAGGGGGTTGGAGCAGACCCAATTCCTGGCGAAGCAGCACTGCCAGGAAGCCATGAGGCTGTCCCAATTGCTGAAGGAGAGCCCGTACCAGAAGGGGCTCGTCGTCACCGCGGATTTCGTCCTTAACCGTATGAAGTAGCACGGCTCAGGTTAAGTAGGCCCTTAGTTATGGAATTTACTCTGTACATTGTGTTTTTTTTTATATGGAAAACGAACGTCGGTGTCGATTCCGCGAGACCGGCGTTCGGCATTCCCCTGTTATTTATTTTTAATTAGAACGTACTATAACTCTTGCAGCCTTTGTGTAAGGAAATGAAAGTTTGCTCACTATTAATTTAGTACTTGGGGTAACTCGCTCTCGCACGGGGTGTTGCGCAGATCTAGTCGGATTTGTGTCATTTATGCTTAAATTCTGAAATGGGAAAAAACTTTTATTTTGGGGGGCTATTGTAGAAAGAGAAAATCAAATGAGTGAATGAAACAAGTAATTAAACAAAAAAAACATTTTCAACGTAATGGTTTTTGGAAGTTTTTAAGTGACTTGGAAGACGGAAAGTGTAACTGCTGCGACGAAGTATTTGGAACAAAAACAAATTCAAGAATAACGTTTTTTGTTCCTAAATTATTCCTAATGATTCATGATCGTCCAAAGACTGGACGTCAAACATAGTCTTTGATCAATTATTCTAGAACCATTGAAAATATAGGCTAGAACCATTGAAAATATAGGCGTCCAAATTGGTGCAGTCCCTTGATTAAATCACTAACCCTCACCAACTATGGTTCGCTGTTGATGAGTTCCTAACTTTGTCATGGTCTTTATACTTTTACTTATACACTGTACGAGAAAAGCTCAAGAGGTACAAAAGCTCCCATTGAAGATGGTGCAAGTCCAATAACTTTTCTCTGACAGTTGCAACCCTTCAGAGGGCCTTCAATTCCGACGCCATTAGTTATTTTTTGTGAAAATTTTACATGCAGGAAGCTACAGCACTGCACCAGTTTCGAACCTTATATTTTCAATGTTTCCTGAGCAATGTATCAAAAAGTGTGTTTGACTCTCTGAAGGCTAGCTCGTTTCAACAAAAAATATTCCTCTTATCTCTTTTTCTTTGTTCTGATGAGAGGAAACAGTCCTGAAAGTTCATTGCAACTTCGCTGTTACTTCCTGTATTTGAGCTCAAATTTGTGCAGTATTCTAAATATGCAGGATGAGGCATGACTTAGAGGTCAAATTTAAAGATCAGATAGAACAAAGGTAATAAATCGTCGGCTGATTATTTGTTGATTTGTTCTGTCGCTCATTACTTGAGTTACAAAGCAAGAGTGGATTGTAGACATTAAAGTGGTATATACGATTTAACCAAAAACAGATATTAAGATAATTATAGTCATTTAACAGTTTAAAGCATATTTCGTGAAAAAAAAAATGCCGACTCTGGTACCTTTGGTCTTTAAAAAGACATTAATTTGGACATCTTTACTGTAAAACCTCGTACCTGGAAAGCCATATCTTTAACCATTTCTGAGATATTTACATTTTAAAAAATCAATATACAAACTACTGTTTATCCCCCTACCAATCCAAATTGTTACACTGGTAGGGGAAGTGACATAGGTTGGTCACCAGGTTTCCCTGACCTGATTGAATTTTCTTGATTAATGCCTTACCTTTCCTTTGAACACAGGTTTATTCTAAATTCAAAAATAGGAAAGTAATTTCACAAACAAGTCATTGCGTTTTGAATTTTTTCCATAATGCAGCTCGAATGCTAATGGAATCCTCCTAAATAACCAAAATAAATCAAGAGGATTTAGGTCGGTAAAATGTGGTACCCAACGCATGACACTACCTTTACCTGTTCAAGGATCTGAAATGTGTGTAGGTTTATGGATTTTCGAACATAGGCATATTAATATAAAATTAATTACAAAACTGGAATAACTTGACACAAACTGGCAGATTCTACTCCATGAATTTGGTTCTAAAATAAAATTCGTAACCTACTGGTCCAAATTTGAAAATTGAATTTGTAGCTCCTTTACAGCTTACGTGAAAAAAAAATTGGTAAGATAAATGGTAGCCTGTATTAATTTTTCTAATGCAAATATCTAGAAAACGATTAAAGATAAGGATTTCTACAGGGTATTGTATTTTTCAGTTAAGAGGTCTAAATTACCGTCATTCCCATCTGTACCATAAGATAACTCATAAATTTAGCACCACCAAAACCCTTTGGTACTAAATTTGAAATCGATATCAAAAATTGTAAATTTTCGAAAAAATTACACCCGCATGACTAATATCAAATTTTGGACTATGGTGGGGTTGACCAAATTTTAATGTTTAGAATCCACTGTTGCTCTGTGACGTGACCCATTACTTATGAAACACACTGTATGTGTATTTTGTTTTCGCTCTCCTAGGATTACAGAGATATAAAATTTAATGGGTCTACCTTTGATAGTAACGGAAATATGATCAAAAAATGTGTCTCAATAGTAATATGTTAAATTTCACTTATTTGTATCACTAATAGTAACTGAGATGGGCGTTTACATCGGATTTTCCATACTCATAATTGTGTACTCGTATATATGCTCTATTGCCATTATTAAGTAAAATATTAGAACGGTCAGATCATTATTTCCATAAAAAATTATGGATTTACTATTAAAAATGGACATATGCAGTTTTTACGTCACTGAACACCCTGTTATATACAAAACGAAAAAAGTTCTAGTCTTCGAACACTCTGTGCCGCCTGTACATTTTCTGATAGCGCTTTATTTATGACTCATACGTCTTGTAACCTATTTAGTGTTAGAAAAATGTTGTAAACGGTTGTTACTGCATTATTCCAAATATAGGTACATATTTTCATATTGTTAAATAATGATATTTTTGTAAAGCCTTAGAGTAATAGTTGATGATTGTCTTGGTGTGACTGAAATATTTGAAATGTGAGTGCGTCTGTGTGTCAATATCCAGTCATTTTTATTCTAGATTAGGTTTCAGGGAAAAATAGGGAATTCTCTGTAAATATTACCAAAATAATTAGAGGTTAAGCTTTCATTGAATGCCGGTTTTTGGAAAAGGAATGGAGAATTAGTAGAATCACAAATTAACCCGTGATTTTTCTCAAATTATATTAACTAAGTTGGAAATATAATGAAAGCTTACCAAATCTTCACTTTTAACTCTACTTGTAGAAAACCTGCCTTTAAACTGATTTACTACAAGAATATTGCAAAAATCATACTTTTTACAGTAGTTATTTATACTTTTCTGAAAGGAATGAGACATTTTACTACCCATTATATCGTCTTTTTCTTTTATCTACCCTGTATATATAACAGCTGATACATATGTGTTGGTATCTATATTATTTTTATTAGGATATTAACTTAAAGTAATTTTATATTTGTACAATTAATATATTACTGTACATATTTTTAAAAAACTTATGATATTGTTAATATATTTCATAATCACTGATATTTCATATGTAAAATTATTAATAAACTGGTGGGTTTAATAGTGTGGGTTTTATTTTCAGCCTTTCGTTCCACCCATTAAGGGACCTGATAGAAGAGTGCGTATGTACGGTTGGTAATCACGATTTTTTCTAAAAAGACGAATTATGTCAACCTTTACTGTACCAAGTATTTATTTGCTCATAATTCCATTACAGTGGCCGAACAAATCACTGCTTGTTGGAAATTATATCCCCACGGAACGGAATCTGTAGCAATGCAACTTAGTATCCTCTTGTCATTATGGTTACCGAATATCTCCTGACATCGAATAAATGTACGTCTTTCTTCATATCCTCATAAACGTCAGTGTCCGTGAATTCGTAGATTAAACAGGCCGCATCCATACGTACAATCTTTACGCCCCTTACCGACCCTCCAACTGTTTCACCAGTTGAACGTCCTTATGTTTCCGTACATTCCCCATTGTTTTGCCAAAAACCGCGTTGTTCATTAATTTGTAGAAAATTTTCTCAAATTCGGTAGTCGCCTGTTTTCGTATATATTTTCGTAGTCAAGCCGATTGGTTGAATTTTAAAATACTGTGGACTTCAAGTTATAGAATTGATCGACCGGTACCCACTTGAATCCCTCGGATAGAAAAGTAGGAGACATCGCTGCGATGTACAAGTTGTTTATGTCACAGTACATGATGTACTTATCTAGTTCTTCTGAGTTGTATGTCTCACCTATGTACTTCTTATTAGCCTCTGAGTACCAGTCGAACACAGGATAACTAAAATTTTGGCAATGCCCGTTGGTAATTCTGAATTTTCAACATAGCATCAAAAGCCAACCAAGTCACTGATAATGCAATTTTTAAAATGGAACTATGTTAAAGATACAAATAAAAATTTATTTTGAGTTTGATTAAAGTATGTTAAAGCTTAGTTCTTAGGGTTTCCAAAATATTTGCGGTTTTTCATATTTTTTGTTGCTGTTTCCTAAATCTAAAGAAGGACCTATTTTAAATTGATTGTATTTTTTCTATCGAGATGGGACAAGGAAAAACAATAACAGCACCAGTGTACTTATATATTATATATATTTTTTCGTACATTAAAGTTGTCATACATCTAATTGTATCACAATTTTGTTTAAAATGCTAATTGCGCAATTTAACATGGTCCCAGCAAGCGATATAAACGAACATATTTATACTAGCTTGCTCCTTATGGTGACATAATAAAGCAGTCTACACCTAAAACAAATTTGTTTCACCCTGTACCATTTGCGTTCGGCTTTATTATGTGATCATTTACGTCCGATGGACCGAATATCCTCCCTGACAGAAACGGTTAATACGCCTATTGTGTTGCACGTTTGTTGCATAATCCGATTCCCGATAATTACATCAAAGAGAAACATAATGAAAAATGTAGATGTCGAGACTTCTTGATACAAACAGGGCGTTGCAATGTTCTACCGACGAAATTTGCAGACGTTTCACTTACCAAAAATAAGAAGTAAAAATTAGTATTAATGTTTTATTATTCTTTTGGTAGTATATTCAATCTTTTTGAAACAATTTAGGCATAATTTTTTTTTGAGACAACACTATCTCTGAGAAAAAACAGCTTTAAGTAAATTGTAGTAATATGATTTTAATGTTGGTGATCTAACCGACTAACAATAAAAAAAACATTTACCAGGAAACGTAAAAAAATAAAAAAGGAATAGAAAAGTTTACAACCTTATATTTTAGAAACCAAAACATTTGCGGATTTACTCTCACATAAACAATTTTTCTTCCTGTGTAATTTTGTCGGTGGAATGTTGCAACGCCCTGTAGAAGCAACAGAAATCCATACATTTTTCTCTATTTTATTTGCCAGAATACACATTCAGGTAAAGGACATTCGATATCATAAGCACTTTTTAAAAATTATACATATAACAACTGCACTTAACACGTACACTTTGGTGAAATTTAAATTTTAAAGCACTTAGGAATTGAAATGTACTGAGAGATACGTATATTACAGTTACTAAGGTCGTAATATTTTAAATAGTTCTATTAAAATGGCTCAGTACCACATTAGCATCAGGCCTCTCGATGATTTATAAGTTGATTGACGAAACGCGGCCAAGGAATGTGGCAAAGCCACTCTGTGACGGTTGTGTTTGAACACTTCGAGCATATGTCACTGGAGGTAGCCTCCCAATCAATGGCCGGGCTAGATAGAGATGGCTGGTATGGGATGAGTCGCGAGCCAATCAGCGAGAGAGAAAGAGAGAGAGATAGCATGTGCCTTCATAGCAGCTATCTCTCTGTTCGCCATAACGTGCCAAGACGTTGCCGTTGGAAGGCTATCTCCAGTAGTATATGCTCGAAGTTTGAACATTCGCTGTCAAAAATGACATTTTTTATAATAAATATGTAATTATCTAATATCTAATTTTAATGTGCTATAGATAAATAAAAATATGTTATATATTTTTTTATAAATAAAAAATCCTATGCTTTGTCGACGTTTCAATTTTTTTTAATCTTCAGAGTTAATACATATATGATTTTATTTGGTTGTAATTTAAACCATTAAACACCTCGACATAGTATAGGATTATTGATTTGTTTCCTAATACTGAAGAATTCATCGACTAAAAGTGAAGTAGTTCTGTTTTCTATTGAATTTCTATACAGGGTGTTTCAAATATCATGCTATAACATCACTATCTCGAAAACCGTCGGAAGTAGTGAAAAATGGGGTAAAGTTGCGAAATTTAATGGAATATTTCCAAGAGAAGAGTCTGAAAGAGCAAAAATGGTCTTACAATGTGTTTTTATTAAATAAACATATGAAAACTTTACATTTTTCAAAAAATTCTCAAAATTATTGTTATTCACTATTTTGCCCCTCTCTCTACATCTAATTGTTTCCTGCATCAACGTATTTCAACTAACTTGAAACATCCTCTATGCTAGAACCTATATAATTAATCTACAACCCTTACTATATTTTTACTTCCCTTAGTAAGGAAATATACGTAAATTCATAATAATTATATCAATTGAAATTTTAAAATAACGTTGAAAAATTTCAGCGATCGCCAATTTTTCAAATTTATTTTAAGGCTTCAATACATAGTTAAAGCTAAAACAACGTCTAACAGAAGTTTGCTTTAGGATAAAGCAATGTCAGTCTTAAAACAGATGAAGCTATCATGGTTAATCTTTGACTCAAGCGCCCGTCAGTTGTCAGTCGCACGTGGTTAAATCAAAAGCGTGTTCCATTCCCTTTTCAAATCCAAAAAAATGAATTGGTTCCAAATATGTGACCGAACAAGTTAGGTTTTACCTGCAAGAGGCAGCATCGACTGACAACTAAATCGGCGTTTCACCTTGGCCGAACAGAATTGTGGCTTGTGATTGTGCGTATGTCTGTGTCGTAGGAACCAATAGTTAAACGTCGTTACTAATTTCTCGAGATTCTAGAAATTAACCTCACTGCACGATCATCGACAGTACATCTAGGTGCCAAAAGTGACTAAAGCAACGCCGACAAAACATTATATTTTCTTCTCCTTTCAGAACTGGCTAGATATACTAAGTATACCTTAGAGGAAGCACCGGCGACAGTTTGGGTACTCTCTCTCTCTCTCTAATCGTTGAGGAAGAGTGGGGAGATCCCGCCGTTAGAGAGCTAAGAGAGCTGCGTTAGCCAATCACGTGCCTGCGCGCGAGAGAAAGATAATACCCAAACTATCTTTCTCTCTCTGCCACTAGTCTACACTGTCGCCGTAAGAGCGCTTCCTCCATTAGGCTCCAAGAACAGTACAGATCAATCGATTTTTTGTCTGACAAAGTATTCATAAAAACAAATCGAAATAAAGGTTTTGCGACTATCCCATAAGTATTAATGTTATGTTGAATTGAAGCTATCAATTAAGTATTTTACTTTTCGCTAAATCTTCATCTCGCACGTATCACACATGAAATTGCTTTAGATAGCTAAGATATGATAGAAAACCACAGACCACGTTCTCGTCAGGATACTTAACCTAAATTTGCGTTTAAAAGGATCCCAATTTATTTTGCAGTGGAAATGAACAGCTGGATAGTATCCAGTGGATACACAATCACCTAAAAAATTATTTAAACACAAAAAATATGCGGCAAATTTTTTTTGAAGGTCAAATAATACCATTTCCTGCAAAGTAAACTGATATTCTCGAAACCAACAAGCACCTATAGAAAATGTAACGCGTATTTCCATTCCAATATTTAACACACTTTTGATTTCTTTCGACATTTGCATTTCCATTGGAATGGAAACCGGTTTGAAAACAAATAAGGTGGCGATTCTAATACTGTATATAGTTTTTATAAATAATAACGAGCAAATTTAACAATTTTGAGCTTATAATAATGTACAAAATAGCATTTACACGTAACACGGAGGTATTTTCATCCACTTACTTGATAGCTCAACATTCACAATGTATGTATATATATAATATTGTTTATACTTGCAGTCTTTATCGTTTAACATGTTGATGAACATGCACGAATTTGAAGCTCTGTTTTCGGTTTCAGTAAGTCCGTATTGTCCTCTGGATGGTGATCCAGTAGTGCGTAACCCTACAGGCATAAGCATTATGTATTTAACATGTAGATACCTAAATCGGGTATTATTGACAACTGAGGAGGAGATAACCACTACCAAATCGAAAAAATAATAAAAAAATTACCTTCTGTTCTCTTTTTTCGCGAATTTTCCTAGCCAGGTTCATGAAAGCCGCCTCTATGTTGATGTTATTCTTACAGGACACCTCAAAAAATGATAAGTCGAAGTGTTCAGCGATCTGAAAACAAGTTTGAACAGAAAAGGACATTTAATTGGGTGACACTAAAACGATAAAGAAATTTTAAATAAATAATACAGCCTACACAACCAGCTGCTCATCGTTCTCAGTCAACGAAGCACAAGTACTGTTTCAAGTATATCGATGAATAAAGATCGTCAGTACAACGGATATATTAAAAAAAATGTATAGGTACTCTTGAGAACTTTGCGGGATCTTAATAACAAATAGAGTATGTCCCAAAATTCACGTAAGAAGTAATTTTGATAGAAAACACAGGTTTTTAATTAAAAATTGTAAATTTTTCATTTATTCAGTATACAAGGTTATGTATGGAATAATATATCGGGCCTGCACAACTTTGCTAGCACATACGCACCCTTTTGTAGAAATTTTCCATGACCGTTTTTATAAGGCATGAGTGATCATGGGCTTGTTGACATAAAGCTTAGACTTCAAAAAAAAAAAAAACAAAAAAAGTCCAACGGCGTTAAATCGTATGATCTGGACGGCCAATTCTGATCACCAAAACGAGAAATTACACGACCAGGAAATGAAGTAATTGAATTGCTTCTCGGGTTGTATGGCGTGTGGCACCTTCCTGTTGCAACTACATGTCATCCACATCCATATCTTGCGATTTAGGCTCAAAAATCTGGATTATCATATCGCGATAGCGAACACCATGAACTGTTATTACCTGACCAGCTACATTTTCGAAAAATAATGGTCCGGTGATGCCTCCAGCCTAAAATCCGCACCAAACAGTGACACTTATGAGTGAATTTGTTTCTCAGCAATGACTCGTGGATTTTCTGAATTCCAAATGAGAAAATAATTTAGTGGATTAATGAGGCCATCAAGATGAAAATAAAGCCTTATCGTTGAAGATTATTTTGTTCGAGAAATCAGCATCCACTTGTTGATCCATAATCCATTCAACGAACTCTCTTTGCTTCGCTGTAGAGAGCTTCTCATGGAAATGTCCAATTCTTAATCACGACGCCGAATGTTTTTGGATTCTCAGCAACACTCTCACGAACCAGTTCGATGTTTTGTGTTGAGCGACTTCTCGCATGATGGCCAGAGTGTTTAAGATCACTAATTGATCCAGTCTCCCTGAAATTTTAATTTCTTCACAGTTGATGATATGATGTTAAATCACTATTCCGACTATATTTTGTAGGAAAATTGGGAATTGTAGCTGACAAACCTTCATTATTCTTAAAATATTGCTCAACAATGAAAAGGCATTGTTCTTTCGTGCAGCGCTCCATTTTTAATAACTCTTAACTGTCAGCTGTAACGCTCCGCACAAATGGCGCAAAATTCGAATGTTACGTGAATTTTGGGACACCCGATATTAATAATAATCAATGCTCAAATTAAATACAGATATAATTTATTTGACTGGATAAATGCTGGGACAATTCTCTTCCATTCTAATATTTTAAGTTTGTCCAAATGGTACTAAAAAATTCACATTTCAGTCCTGATCTCTAGCTTTCTCAATTCTGTAATTGCATTCGCAAGCATAACATAGCATAGCATAGCAAGGTCACCAAATCCATCTTATACTCTACAACAATGCACTATGGGCCAGGAACCTGAAAAGGTGGCCATAATACTAAAATTGCTCTAATTGCTATGAAATATGGTACTCCAATGTTTTTGGGGTTGCTGATTTCGGATCCGTTCTCAAAATTAAGAAATTCAAAATGGCGGATCCAATATGGCGTACGAAAATGCTGAAGATGATCTAATTGTGCTGAAATTTGGTATTATTAGGTTTTCGGGGTCACTGATTTCGAATTCGTACTCAAAATTTAGAAATTCAAAATGACGGATCCAATATGGCAGACAAAAATGCTAAAGATGCTCTGATTTTGCTGAAATTTGGTACTGAAAGTTTTTTTGGGTCGCTAATTTCGAATACGCACTCAAAATTCAGAAATTCAAAATGGAGGATCCAATACGATGACTATAAAATTACAAAATTAAATTTTGAACTTAATTACCTACGATTACATATGGAAAATTACATTACTAATTTGCAAAATATCGCTGAATGAGTTCAAAGTAGACAATTATAGTCAAGATCTTGACACCTTAAATTTTTTATTAGAAGATGCAGTTGCGGCGAACTGAAAAACGGCAATTTGTACAAAACAAAAAAAAATAAAAATGGTTTCCCAAGAAATCACAATACTCAAGTCAGGTTAATCTCCGCATATTGTTATTACCTTTTTCGAATTCAAATATCAGTAATACTGATTTTACATAGAACATTAACTTCAGAATTCATGTCAATTTTTGAATTTTTCAAATGTTCAAAATCTGTGCTTTTTATGAGAGACCATGCATTTTCTACTAAAGTGTTGTCAATATCGGAACACTTATTTAGGAAACCCTAAAGTATTTTTCAGAATTTTATTAAGTATAAATTAATAGATACATATTACTATAAATCATTAGAAAAAAAAATAGAAAAATCGTTTTTTTTTCTGCTGTAAATACAAAAATAGTTGAAATATTTCTTATAATAGGGCCCTGAGGTTTTTTTATTCGTAATCAGGGACCTGAAAAAACTACGTGTACTGATTTTCATGAAAACGAAAAAATTTTCTGTTGTATTGGTCCGTCATATTGGATCAGCCGTTTTGAATTTCACAATTTTGACTTCTGATTCGTAATCAACGACTCGAAAAACCTCCTGGTACCGATTTTCATAAAAATTAAATACTTTTTTTGAATAATAATAATTCAAACCGGACCAATAGGTCCGCCATACTGTATCGGCCATTTTGAATTTTACAATTCTGACTTCTGATTCGCAATAAGCGACCCTGAAAATATTTAGATGCCACATTAAAAAAAAAGTTCCATCGAGAAATAAAATGTCACGCGCGCTGTCACGGATTATTATAAAATTCTTCGAATTATGTGAATATTCGCAAAAGTTCGCCTGTTTTTCTTAAAGTACACATTCTAAGGAATCCAATGATGCATCGCTCATTTTGATAAGTAGTGGAGTTAGGGGAGTTCTGCTTCCAAAGTATGGTCAAAACAGCGAAATTCAGTAATATACTCTTATGATTATAATGTTAATCCATTTTCTCTGTTTTTCATTTTTGTAGGTATTTTGTGCCCTATTACAATAATTTATCGAAGTAAAATGATGAATGAGATGCAATAGCAGATTTTTGATTTGCTGAAATACAATAGTACCAATGAAATATTTGAAAAGTAAAATTGCTGGTTTCACAAGATTTTAAAGTTTAAGTCACTGCCACATTGAGAGTAGCCGGTCAAATTCAATGAAACTTTAAAAATAACTAGTTCAGCTTATCTAGATAACGACAAGACATTTGTTTGAACGAATCTCCGCAGTCGCGTTTTGGCCACTTTTTCAGTTTCCTGGCAGTGGTGACTTAGCTGTACAAACTGTGCCAAAAAGATCAATCAGAAGTTTGACTAGGTATAAACTTAGTTTTACTTGATCAGAAATTGCCCCAGATTTTACAGTGAACATTGTAAACACATAACAAGTGAACATTTCAAAAATTGTTTAATTTTTCACTCTCAAAAGTATAAGTAAATAACATGATAAAAAATATGAGCTTTTTGTTTTGTTTATCTACCTTCCAAAGACTTGATATGTCATAAAATATGATCGTTGACATATTCTTACTTACCTGGAGTTGTATTCTGTAACTTTCTTATAGTGCTATAACTTTATAACCACAAAAAAATATCGCAAGATAAGTTTTTGTGACATTTTAAGTAAATCTGATAAATACTTCTCAACGACAGTTACTAAAAAAAATTGTAAAAAAGTTGAAGGTTATCGGTTGCAGTCGCCGTACCATGTTACAGAATATCAGATTTTTGAAATCTAGGTAACATTTTCTTTAAATGTTATAATGATAATGTTGAGTGGATCGTCAAAGACAAAGTAGGTAAATAGTAATATAATGACTATTTCTGATATTTTATATCTCTATGGAAAGTAGATAAATAAAAAAATACTAGAAGACACCCCAAATTAATAACTATAGACAATGAGAATAGTCAATGACTGATTTTTTTTTTTTTCAAGAACCATAGTTCTATAAAATATAATTTACTTCTGCAGTTACAAACGATGCTTTGACAAAATGACAAAAGAACAATCTCTCACCTTATCCCCACTCTGAGTATCCACCACCCTGTCGTTCGATTCGCACTTGTTTCCAGCCAGCACGGTGATCACGTGGGGAGACGCGTTCTACAAAGCACACTCTGATTAAAAACCTGCGTCATACAAAACAATTAAAGGCACAAACCTCCTCGATATTTTGCAGCCAGTAGGTGATGTGGTTGAAAGACTCCAAATTGGTGACGTCGTAGAGCAAGAGGATGCCCATAGCGCCCCGGTAGTAGGCCGTGGTGAGGGTCCTGAACCTTTCCTGTCCTGCCGTGTCCCATATCTGGAGCTTAATGGGAACGCCGTCCAGGTTCACTATCTTCTGCTTAAAATCTATTCCTGTAACAGACAAGTTATGTCAAGGTCAAAGATCGATGACTCCGAGGTGGTGGGTCAAAGGTTAACGACTAAGGAACAAGGTCATTTGGGGACAGTTCGCTAATATGGTGTAGTAATTACAATGGGAATAATAATCTTTAACCAATGAAGATTATGTACATTCCAAACTGTTTTTGACAAACGCTTTATTTAAGACATCAGTAATGATATATTTTTCATTTTGGTTATTTTGGCCTGTGTGGCATTTTATTTCGATTCCTTTGAATCTTGTGGGACTTCACCATCTCACATTTTTCGTTTTTTTCTTCCATTCTTTATTACTACATATTCTTATTGTCAGTTTTTCTTCCATCCCTTCTAGTTGTTCGCTGGCGGTACTATTATTGTATTATTTCTATTGATTTATGATTAACTTTTTATTGATCTATTTGCTAACTATGTTTTCTAATAATACTGATGATACAAAAATGCAAGCATACAAGGGATATGGGATGAAGAAGAAAGGAAAGATTTGTCTTACAAAATTATTTTATTCTGCTACCAGATTCTTGCACAATATTACTTCACATCGAAGAATGGATGTGAAGTAATATTGTTCACAAAACCCGGAGCAGATTAAAATAATTTTGTGAGACAAGCCTCTCTTTTTCATTCAATCTACACCAAATAAAAGCAGTTTCACAATGTACCTCATCAAACGTCAAAATACAATATAATGTTCCTTGAATGGTCTTCCTCTTGATTTTTGTGTATATATTTCGAAAATTCACTTCATCAAATATCTGAACTGAAATATTAATACATTTGGAAAGGTTAATACGTCCTACTGCTGTCTTTGACAGTTGGATTACCATGACAAAGGATGCGTTAAATAAAAGGATGTGGGGAATACTATTTTGGTCACTAAAAATGTTCGTATACCAAATCAAGTAAGCGTAGACCTTACATCGGGACAGAAGGCAAAACCAAAGACTGTTGCGTTAATATTTCGCAACATCCAAGAGACCCCACGAAAGATTTTTTCCAAGGAAAAAAACCGACTCACCTATTGTTGATATGTACGTGTCGTAGTACCTCTCGTCGCAGAAACGGTGCACTATGCACGTTTTGCCCACATTGGAGTCGCCCAGCACCAGGATCTTGTAAGTGGCGGCGAAGTCGAGCGCCATTTTTCACTATCGATTTCATTGTTGTAGTCGCCGGGAGGGCGCAGAGATTGATTTTTAAGAAGAACGTGCGCAGGCGCCACCAGCTGGGACCAACTGTAGAGGGTGTATTGGCCGTTGATAACGACTTTGGACGGAATTTCCGAGGTGACACTTGAGGGGTTAAAGGTGAAGTTAATTAAGTGTCGCCTAACCTATTTTTCGCGAACCCATGTTTGTTAAGGCAAATAAAAGGTTAATTAACAATGGCATTTTGTAGTTAAGTTAGTGTCAATCAGAATGATTTACGTTAAGAAAAGAAGCTAAATCAAGAGTACATTGGCGTTTTCGTACGTCATACTTGGTTCAGATTTGGTGGTTATAGTCCAATCAATGTGTCACAGCCTTATGTTAAATTTACAAAAAAAAACACTACCTGGAAACAAAAAATATGGTGATATAGGAAAAAAAATTCTAAGAAAGATAGTGCATTTTTCCTGTGGCGCATAAATAGCGAAGTTAACCTAAAAAATTCATAAAATCAAAAAAAAACGGTTTTTGCTAATAAAAAAAAAAACTTGAACTTCAATCGTAAAAAGTTAATTGAGAAAGTTGTAGCTTTTAAAAAAACCTATCGATTCGTATTTTTAATTATATCGATTGGTATATTACTTTTCGCGATATATCGAAAAAACCGTCAAAAATCGACATTTTTTGATTTTGCTGTATCTCTTGCAAATTAAGGTTCTGAAACTTGTTACTTGCTGTAAATGTAGCACTCGGTAAGCAAAAAAGCACCTATTTTTCAAATTAAAAAATATTAAAATTTTTTCGACTTATAACGATTTTTCGAAAAAAAAATCATCTCGAAAATCGGCTCTTCTTGCTCGACGAATAGTCGTAGGAAAACAAATCCGGGCTCATTTTTTCCTTAAGAGTTGTACTTTCATGATAAAAAGGATTGATAACGATTTTATTCATTTTAAGTGTCCAAAGATGTCTTTAGAAAAAAGTAAAAAATTTTTGCTCGTGTGTTTCTTGAATATCTTTTTCGATTTTCATTTCTCGATAATGTATATTACAGAAATCGATTACTGGCATTTTTACGAGAATTTAAAAAAAAAACGTTGCTCTACGATCTTCTGGAGTCGAGATAATTTTTTATCATCATTCTTACAGAGATTGAAGTCGAAGACTTATATTTTCAATAAAAAAATACTGTGGTTCATTTTAGCCACTTCTGCATTTTTAATTGTACGTCAAACCGAAACATTCGAGCGCTGCGCGAGCTAACTGTAGCGGACGGCAGAGTGGGGGTAATAGTCCAATTAAATTGGGCTTTAAATCGCAATTTTGGTCAACTTGCCTGAACTTTTGATATAAGTTAGTTTGAGATATATAACAATAACAAATGACAGTAATTTTTTTTTTCAACCCCCGGCCAGGGGTGAGAAAGGGTAAAATAAAGGGCTTTTTCAGTATAACTCAAAAGGGGTAAGAGATAGAAAAAAAGTTTCTTATAAAAATTGTAGAGCAAAAAATTAAACATAAAAATGGTCTATTGACTTTTTCTTGTACTATTAAAATTAACAGCGTTAGGGAGACTAGAAATTAAGGGATGATTTCAGAAATTTAAAAAATCATAACAAGCAAAAAAATTAATGAATTTTATATATATTTTTTTCAATCTACTCTAAAAAATGCAAACTACCTTTTCAGCGAAATAGATACATTTTTTAATTTTTAATAAAAAAGTTATAACAATTTCACAGGGCTTTTAAAGCTCTCGGTTATTATTTATATTCTCATTTTTCCTATAACTTATACGGCTATAGGGTAAAGGGTTATTATAAGGTTAAAAGACTTACAGAGTTTACAGTTACAAAGATATTAATTTCTCCAAACCCACGGCTTGCAGATAAAGTAGTTATTAGTTTAAAGGGCTTACGGTTTGCAATATAGGTATATTTATTTCTCTTTTTCTTTCCTGTAGGTACACTGTTTATAGGGGTAAACATAATAAAATTATTTTTTTGACCTGGGAAAATCCCATTTCTATAAATGATTCCAAAATAAGTCGGGTTTTGCCGACTGCCCGACCTGGCCACACCGGGCCTATGACAAGTTATAGAAATTATTGTTTAAAATGATCACCGTTTTCTCTCAGGCATAAATCCAATAACTGCTGATTGTTTCTAATGAATGCGCATTTATCCGAAATGCTATCCCACAATTCTGCTCGAGACGCAACTAGCGAGGAATACACAAATTCTTTTACCGTTCCCCAAAGAAAGCTGTTACATTTGTTGAGGTCTGGCGATTGTGGAGGCCAAGAGGCTACGATATTGAGACAAAAGTTCAATCATCACAATGCATTGACATCACACGTCAGTGTCGATTCGATGTTTTTTCGACTTTGACGAAATTGTGCATTTTGAATTCTTGCCTCAAGGTGAAACAGTGAACCGTGTGTATTATCAAGACGTTTTACAACGGTTACATGAGAAAATCCGCAAAAAGAGACCAGAATTGTGGCAAGACAATAATTCATGGTTCTTGCACCATGACAATACGCCCGCACACACAGCTTTGTCAATTTATTAATTTTGTGCCAAAAATCAGATACTGATAAGGACCAATAAAGTATAAAATTAATAATAAAGTTTAAAAAATAAAGTTCGGTTGTTTTCTGAGCAGACCTTGTATTTCAAAATTTATATATTCGATTGAACATACTGTGCCTCCGTTTTTATTTCGAATTCTGGTTTTCTCATTTTTTATATAATTATAAGTTTTCGATATTGCAGTCATAGTCCTTAGTTATCTGTAGTGTATTTATGATTCCTCATCCTCTGTGTCCTAATTAAAAAAAAAAACAAGTAAATGAAATATAGATGATAACGCTGTACTTATGCTATTTAATAAAGGAACACTCTTTATATCATGTATTGTTTATGGTTGTCAGTTAAAATAAAAATTTACAGCTAACGATCTGTTTCCATGGAAAATCACTTAGTATACAAAACATAATTGATGTATATGGTCATAGCCAAGCCGATTGTGAAGTAACTAGGAAATTGAATTGAATTTCTATTTGTAAAACACCTCCAAAACAATACCATAAGATGCTCAACGAATACAAAAAACTAAAAACAATTGGAAAAGGTAAATATGTTCTCCTGACAATGAGAAGCACAGTGTGAATTTACCATAATATTGAAAAACGTTAAGATAATAACTCAAGCATGCCTTATAAGTGAAATCGGTTCCATACAGTTAGATATGTGTCCACAGGCACAGTCCCCATCAACAGGGGCGTAGCTACAATTTTTGCTTTTGGTGCGCCCAGGACTACAAGCTCTATGAAGGCTTCGCAATCACCGACTTACCAATATAAAATTTTGAACATGTTTTGATTTCATTCTAAAAAAAAGTTCACGCAGTCACCGACTTGTCGATGTGACAAAGATGATATTAGATCTTTTTTCTTCTGGGGTGGGCCATACACACCCCTGCCCCCTAGCTAGGCAAATGCCTATCAAACATGGATACTATTCCCTCCTATATTCCAATACAAACTAAAGTGAACTAAATTGGGTTTCCATAAATTATTTTTTTTACTGGCATAGACTATTATAGTGAAAATAAACTTATATTCATTGCCAAAGTTTAGTTTAATGTACTAATTTTCCGAACATGTACCTTTTGCACTATAAGATACAGATAGTGGCACCTTGAAATACTGACAATTTTTTAAATAAATTATTGCCATTACAAAACATACAGACACGATATGTGCAATTAGATTTATCTTAGACTTAGATAAGTAAATTTTATTTTCAAAGGATCATTTGGAACTGCATCATTGCAACTAGTAAACAATGAGTATGTTGTGGTTAAAGAAATTCTTACTATGGACATGGATGACGAAGACAAGAAATCTGCTTTCAATGAGGTCGACATTTTATCAACTCTAAATCATCCGAATATTATACGGTAATTTTTATTAAAGTATTAAACAAAAATATATAGTTTGTTATTAGCTCTAATTGGCTTTGACTTTGTTTGATAGTATTTTCCGGAATTTTTTTAAAATTTATTTGAATTACCTACCTTAATATCTTTAAAATTTACTATTTGTGTTTTTAGCTATATAGAAAGTTTTAAGGATGAGGATTCCCTACAAATTGTCATGGAATACGCAGATGGTGGGAACTTAGCCCAGTTGATAAATCTAAAAAAGCATAAAAACGATGTCTTCACGGAGATAGGAATTTTGGACATAATTTCCCAAATAAGTGCTGCTCTTTCTTACATGCACTCCAAGAGAATATTACATAGGTGAGTTGTTAAATGAATTGTTGCAAACAGTACGCAACCCTAAAACATTGAAATTATTTTTTATCATTTTTACTATGTAATTTGATTGAGGTTAATAAATGTTAATTGCTCTTAATTAATGTTAATAAAAGTTAATTAGAAGTTTAAAGAAGAGGAGGGAGACTCAGAGCCAGTAAAAAATAAACCATTCTATTTTAATCTGAAATCAAAAAATTGTGCTTGTTGAACTTTTATACCCATTTGATAATAATTATGTGTTTTAAACTAAAAAATCTAAATTGTTGTCAAACTGTAACAGATCCAAAGAAATGAAGGTTACTTTTTGTGAAAAGTTAAAGGACTCATCACGCAAAAAAAGAAATTCTTAAATCAAGAATGGTATATTTATATATACTTACGCAAAGAAATATATCCTTCCCACTAAACATTTTTCAGTTTCTGACATGTTTCAGAAACGTTTCCATTTTTCTTGAAACGTTTCATAAAAAGTCCATGCAACGTTCTGGTAACGTTCTAGAAGCCCAAGATGTCCTCCCCAAAATACGTTTCCAATGAAACGTTTCAAAAAATTGGTTTCAGTAACATTCTTTTGATGTTCCATTTATGCACTCGATATTTTTGTTTTACGTTTCAGTATATTTTCAGAAATGTTTGAGTAACATAATAATTTTTATACCATATTGTTCTCATAATGCTCTCAACTTTAGATAATTTCCATTTCAGAAGCGTTTTTGAAACAGTATAAACAGTGTGAGTAATTTTTTAAATATTTCTAATACTCTTTTGTAATATTTTTATTTGTATTGTGAATGACTTAATTCGTAATCCAGACAATTTTTTCTGATTTCTCAAAAAATTTAACTGAAAAATGTTATTGTATATTAAAAAAAATAACTGCTCTTCTAGTTTGGGGATGCAGCAACTTTTATCAAGAATTTTTTTCTTTTTGAGAAGCCACTGAAAAAGTTTCTAATATGGATTACGGATTCTGCCATTCATCGTACAAATAAAAATGTCACAAAACAATATCAGAAGCATTTTAAAAAAGCTACACATCATTTTATATTGTTCAAATACGCTTCTGAAATGGAAATTTTCTAATGTTGAGACCATCATGAATATGGTAACAATGACGAAATGATAATTAAAAAAATTAGTTATGATAATGAATCTTGAAATGGTAGGTACATGAAAAACAAATAACATTACTGAAAAATAATATAAAGAAGTTACAATTTCTTCTACGCATAGTCAATATTACATCTAACCTTTTTATAATAAATTTTACAGTAGAAATAAATAAGATACAAAAGGATATCTTGAAAAAATAAATATTTGTAGGTATACTTAAACTCTTTTATTTAAGCATTCCTATACACGTACACAAATATAAACATTTGTACAAAATATAAAATAAATGACATATATTTCACTTGATTCTTCCGTATTTCAAATAGTTCTCCGAAACGTATAGTTCCATGTTCCATTTTTTTTAGTTTTTGTCCTCTTGTCTTTAATAGGTATTAGGTAGTGGGTATAATAACTATGTTTAGGTAGATGTGACGCAAAATTCGAAATCTCTACACATATCGTTTTAAACATTTTGCATCAATATTCATTATTTTATATGCACCTTACAATAACCACAACTGCACACACTATAAATTATCACATAAAATAGCATCAAAGTAACGATCATGGAGACTATTCTCCCTGGTAACGATGAAGAACAACGAAGCCAGGCAAACGGGTAAAGGCAAACCGCAAACCTAACCTAACACCTAACATAATACGAATTGAAAACGGCACACGAGAAATAAATAAATTCGGGCTGTTACGCGCGGTCTGCGCAAGTCACGAACATACATTTTTTCTAGACTTGTGTTATAAATATGCTACCACAATTTTTTTTCTGTTTATGTCTGGTTGTACATATAACAAAGGCAAATGAACTAACGCTTGCTATAATGATGGGGCTTGAGAGCAAAATTTAAGTAATGCCGAATGGAAGTTCCATAAGATAAACAAAAGCAAAGGGTTGTTTGTTTGTCGTTGTTACGTTTCCGAGATCGAAAGGGAATGTTTCGAGTAATGTTTCAAACTCTCTTCAATTGGAATGTTTCGGCTATGTTTCACTAAGTAAGTTTTCAAGTGCTACATTTCTGTAATGAAACAGCAACGTTTCTAGTTATTGTTTCATATGTGTAGTAAATCAGCTCATTTGCAACGTTTCATTTACGTTTCGTGTTTAGTGGGTTGATGCATATATATCATAGTCTTAGGTAAATTAAATAAATTTCTTCATTTAAATGAACGTTTTCTTGATGGAAGAGATTTTACTTAGCTTAAGATTGTGGTACATATAAATTTACCAATCTTGATTTAAGAATATCTTTTTTTGTGTGCGTCTTTGAATTTCTATGGAGCCAAATTACTTTTTTTTAAATATTGATTCTAGTAATATTTCAACAGTTACATTACTTACTATTAAAATATAAATCTTTTTTCTCAAACTGTAACACCCTGTTCTCCTTACGGGGCCCCAGATATGTAAAGTTTATATGACGAAGTGATTTTTTTACTAAAGATTGTCAATTTAAAGTTGAAACAATCTATTTTCATCTCTATTTCAATTCAGCCTCCTCTCATTCAAACTTTTTCTAAATGCTCTATTGTGAGCCCTTGCCATTTTCTGTGAAACAATTTTGTTTGTTTTTAGAGATTTGAAAACTGCCAATGTCTTCATAGGCATGAATGGTACAATAAAATTAGGAGATTTCGGTATTTCAAAAATGTTGAACACCAAATCACAGGCACATACAGTTATCGGGACGCCCTACTACTTAAGTCCTGAAATGGTAAAAAATATAGACAAAGTTATAAATTAGATACAAGCTTCATTTATTAATTTCAGTGTGAATGTAACGATTACAACGCAAAGTCTGACATTTGGGCCTTGGGCTGCATTTTGTATGAACTGGCCAGTTTGAAGAAGCCATTTAGTGCTCAAAATTTGCCGGTTCTAGTCCAAAAAATAACAGCGGTACTAAAGGATGTATAATCTTGTTTCTTCTTATTGCTGGAATTATGTTTTAGTGCGAATATGACAATATTCCTCAGTTCTACTCAACAGATTTGTCTTGTCTTGTGAATATAATTCTCCAGAAGAATCCCGCAAATAGGCCTTCTGCTAACGAAATTTATGACGTTTTAATTCCAAAAATTCAAGAGAAGGTGATGGATAACGACCAGAACCAAAGGTAAGTATGATTGAAAGAAATCTTTACTTACATTTAGACACAATGAAAGTTTATATGTGATTTCAGTACACCTGAAAATAGATCCATTTTATATGAAATGAGGAATTTCTTCGACGAAAAAGTGATAACTCCTGTCGAGTTACCACACAAAAAAATCATCAGTTTTTCAGTTAGTCCAACGCACAGCTTGGTGGTAACAGCAGGTAAATATATATAGACTGAATAAAATTCAACTCCACATAGGTAAGCTCAATATGACAAAATGTTTATGGCGCACTTTTTTGACCACATCTCCCTTATTATTAGAGATAATATTAATGTAAACAAAAGTCGTTTATTTTAACACAATTGCAATGTTGATTTGTTAAATCTGACACAAAATTTTGTCGCTACTGGAAAATGCAAAAAATGTGTTTGACATTTTCCTCTATCTCCCAGAATAACAGCTGTGGGTCGAGTACAAAACCTTTTCAGGATAGAAAGGTAAAAAAGATAAGGGGGTAGAATATTATGTCAATGATCATATTCACAAAGTAATACTACTCAATTGTTTAAATATTGAAACGGCAGTACATTTATGAAAAATTTACATATCCAAAAAGATACATCAAAGCACTTTGTGAGCCGAAGGTTCCTCACCTCGCAGCTGGCGGTATTCGGAATAGCGACACTCATTTTTTTTCAACACGCCACTACAACAACAGTTCTCAACTGACTGAAACAAATTAGCGCGCGTTCTGCTCTCAACACCTTGGCCTTGACTGCAGGGTTGCCAACTTGCCAAAAACAGAAACTACAGAGCACCAGATTCTCAGTACACTTACTTTCAATCATTAAATTTAATTTAAAATGTTTGTTATTTAAAGATATCTATTAATATTTACAGATCAGATGGTGTATGGATGGGGTGAAAATTCCCATGGACAATTAGCCTTGGGGAACTGCGACCCATTAAAAAAATATCCAGTTTGTGCGAGTCATCTAAGGAATAAACACATCAAAAAGTTAACCGATCCTAACAGATAACGATAAGGCGTTCTAATATTACTTTTTACAGGTGTGCAGCAGGACAAAACTTCAGTTTATTCCTCAACTCTCAAGGGTTAATATTTAGTTGTGGAGATGGAAGCAAGGGATGCTTAGGACATGGGGAACTTTCCAGCGTGACAGATCCCAAAATATGTAGTAAGTACCTACAAATTTTATTTTACAGAGAAGACCTCCAAAGTTGTTTGGAAGTTCCTTAAGGGTTCACTTAGTCTCCGCCACTTTTCTATGTGCATCGGTGACTTTTTATTGTCAGAAAGTCGTAAACATCTTATATACTCAATACTTTCCTCGTTTTGTCGTTCACTATTTTGGAATTTTGATTTTTGACAGATAGCCTTGTTACGTCGACCATATCGGACATATGCTGCGGTTTGCATCACTGCGTAGCCCTTTCGACAGAAGGAAGGATTTTTACCTGGGGAGTCTCTGCACATGGCGAATTAGGTCTAGGTCTTGTAGAACGGAGGTAACCACATATGAATAAGTCATTTTTATCCTCTTCTCAAGACAAGAAGTAAACAAATGACAGTCGTTAGATTTTAAACAAGAGTTCTTTCTTTCATATATATATTTTTTTGTTTTATTAAAAGTACATATTTGTTTTATTAATTACCATCAATTTATTTATTATTTTACAAATCTGATTTAATTGCAACCAAAAATATCATTCGTATGATAATAAAAACGAAATAACGCTTTGATAAATTCAGAAATTTCTAATTCAATGATCTTTCATGAAAATTATTAGAAATAGTCATTAGTTTTGATATAGTCTTTCCGAGGTCAGTTGAATATGTATAAAAACGCCTAGTAATAAAATTTAATGAGTTTCATAGGCGTCCCTAAAAAAGTTCTCTGCTTAAGGTAAAAAATAATAATAATTTGTATATTAAACTAATGCAAAAAATTAAAAGGTCAAAAGAATTTCCGAAATTTTTTCGAAAATTTTTTTAGAAAACCTTCCGGACATTGAAGAAAGCAAAATCCAATTGTTTCCAGCACGATTCGTCTTTTCCGTCCTATGCTTCTGTTCATCAACTTTTAATTAAATTTAAATTAAAGTTGCTGACCCAAACCAGATTTCGACCCCGATTCATACCGTTTTTCTGAGACAAATTTCTAATTAATTTTTGTGCAGTTAAAACACAGTTTTTTTTTCAAAACTACCCTTTTTCTTCTCTGAAACAATTTTTTTTTTCATCTTAATCATGATTATGAAGTGTTTAAGCTCAAAAAACGTGACACTTTAATTTTTCAAAAGTTGGAGTACAGTAAAGAAAAGATTATTTTTTTTTTAGAAATAAACCTACTGCTATTAGTTTACCAACGAAAATCGACCAGATATTTTGCTCTGAAGACGCTACTCTCCTTCTGGCCTCGAATGGAAAGATATTGGTGGCTGGTAGCAACGAATATAATAAACTAGGCGTTCCTCAAAAGGGCAATGTAAGAACTTTTCATACCCTAGTTTGTAACTATGGACGTATAAAAAGTGTGTCGATGTGTGCCAGCAGAACGCTGTTGGTTAACGAAAAAGGACTCTTGATTATATTGGGGAAGAAAAGTGGCAAGGATCAAGATGGCCGCAATAACGAGGTCGTTCAAGTTATAAAAATGAGTTCTAAGATAACAGTGAGTTAAGTACGAGATGATAAATATGAGTATTTTATCTCTAGAATGGATGTTCTACTGGTTGACTGAATTCAATTGATTTCTTCAGATGAAAAATTTCATATAATCTATTTAAATCCTTTGAATGTTTTCTTGTCCGTTCCAGTTTTTTAATAGAATTTGTATTCTTCGAAACAAAACATACGAAAATATCATAATTTATTTATTTGAATCCATCACAAATACAATAAATCGGCAAAACGGAAAAAAATTAATTTAAGATACAGAATAAAAATTAAAAAACTTTACTTATGTTTTAATAATTCAGTCGAATAGCCAAATATAAAGAAGTATAGTACCTACCTTCAAAATTGTAACTTTCCAATTAATTTCAAGATTTATCATTTCCTATTATAAGAGTATTAATTAATTACTTCAAACCGCCAAAAACTATTAATACTTTTTTTTTAATAAAGCGCACTATAAGTATATTTTTACGGTTTCTAATACAGAATTCTAACCCATATCGATATATTACTTTCTTTTACCAATCTCTTTTAATTTCTGTGATTGATAATTTTTAATTTAACAAAATGCAACATGTTGCAACTTTTAGTTTCGTTCATTAGGTATATGAATAAAAAATAAAAACTATATCAGTAAAACAAAACGTAAATTTTCATATGTATTGCAAAAATTGCTTCTTTAACTTTCAAAATTAGATTAGATATAAAATTTTTATAAAAAAATAATAAGTTTATAAAGAAAAGAAAAGAAATGTAATTTCTGACTGCCTACAAATGTGCATGCCACAAATTTTAATATACAGATAACCTTAATAATTTGCGTTCCCACTTTTTTTTTTACTCCTGCGCTATTTCAAATTTGACTCACTCATAATAGAACACATAGAGGCTTCCTTAACATATGAGGTCTGTTTGGAAAATAACCGAACTTTTTGAATTACCTACCTCATGCATAATGGAGATATTTAGTGATATTTTATATTTTAGTGATATGCGGTTGTCAGCATTGCGCTTACCACAACCCCCTATGTTATCTTTTAGTGTGACCGCCCATATTTAGGCAACTCGCAACAAAATGTCAGTTAAAATTGTACAGATTGAATCTGACTCTTGTGTACTATTTACATAGATACTATACTCCGCGGTCGAAATTATAGAGAGTGATTCAGACATAATATAAAAACACTATTACCATAATGCGTATAAAATATAAAATAATTTTTATACGCTTCAATATTATTTATCTTTGTGCCGCTCGCTACGCACATCGACAGAATCTATAATCGTCTATAGACTGAGTTACACTGAACGTTGATCTATATTCTATCTCTGTCTTTTGCACTTGGTAGAGAATAGGGAAATTCTTTATTTTTAGTGGGTGTAAACGGACTTGATTTATCCGTCCTGAGAAACATCATAGCATAAGCGTAAACAAGGGGTCTAATTCCATGGCTATAATAAACTTATAAATTAAAAAAACACAACTGGGACGTTTTAAAATGCTGTAATAATTAAAATGGATCAAAGTGCCGGTTATAGCAAACCGTAAAAAAATATTAGATGTTTTATTATCTTTGCTCTATATTTTCTATATTTTGTTGCCTTTTACGCAGACACGCCAATGGATTTTCGTTCCCGGCACACTTCATCCCACTTACTAGTCAAAAAGCTAGCGATGAATCACTCTCTATAATTTCGACCGCGGAGTATAACTATAAAAATGATCAACTTCAAATTAATTTATTTTTACAAGGATTTGGAAGTCACGGTGTGCTATCTGTGGCCACAATTAATCATCTCCGCTTATGTAGAGTACCTACCTACGATTCCAGGGGTTCTCAACAAGTTTTAAAAATTATGATTATAATTTTTATGCATCATTTTGCAGTTTCAACTGTTTTGATTATTGAAAATGCTTATTATTATTAATCCATTCTACTTACCACTAACAAATCCTCTCCAAGCCTGTAAATTCTAAGTAACCAATAACCAGATATAAAGAAACTACTTACATGCAGACGATATGTATGTTTTAGATGAGTACTTGTACAAATAGATTTATAACAGTGGCTGACCAGCAGAACGTTATTTGGTTTTGGGGATCTTACGAAAGAAAGATCAGTAACGAAGTTTCTTTAAATGGCGACTCTAGCAAGACGCGTAATAACAAGTACAACTCCATTGTGTCACTACTAAATGAAAATAATTCGAACGTTAAGCAAGTTTTGTCTCCAAGTACCGAAACAATTCACATAAAAAACCCAAAGAGTGTTTTAGCGTAAGTATTTCATACTTTATGGCAGGGATTCCCAAATTGTGCGTCGCGACGCCCTGGGGCGTCGCACAGCTTTCCTGAGGGCGTCGTACCGTTATCCTGAGGGCGCCACAAAGTAGACGATATGCACAGGTTACCTGTGTAATGAGTATCCTATCACCCCCTCCCCTCGCTCTTCTGTTTGTTCACTCTTTCATTCGTTTATTATTTACTTGTTCGGTCAGTCTTTTGTTTTCGTCGAGTATAAACGTTGATGCATCCTTGTAACCTTAGAACATCGCAAAAAAATTACAGCCTGTAAAAGTCGTAATATAAAAAAATTGGGAACCCCTGCTTCGAGGTATACTTATTTGAAATAAAAATTGATGGGGAAGAGAGGAGCAATTTATTAATTTCAATAATTTTTTTTAACCGTTTCTTTTATCAGTATTTCTATTTTTCTTTGGTATAGGCATCAAAGAAATACTTGTTCAATGATTTTGCTCAGTTCATTGAGAAAAAGGATAAACTATCCAAAAACGTGTGGCTCGGCACACGGTTCAGCAAGTAATGTTTGTGATTTTTGAAAAAAATTCTCTTAAATGCTCTTTGATCGATTCAATAATAGATGTCCTGGCGTAGATACTAATATGTGATAGAGGGAATAATTCCCGCCAACATGAAATGTTCTTTAGTTCTATCCTGTATCTAAGCTTTCAACCAATATAATTTAAAATCTATAATTTTAAATTCGATTTCAAATACTTTAATGAAACCCGATACCCATGTTTTTAATTTTAGGGTTTATTCCTCCGAGAAAAATATAAAAAGTGGCAACATAATTCACATAAGTGACATAAAGGCACGGGACAATACCGTTTTAGTAGTTGTACATACAACTACACCACCACACACCAAAACCTTCAATATTTCATATCCAGGAAACAGTAGTTTTGTAAGTACAATTTGCATTTCCCAAAAAAAATAATTGATTTATGAATTGAGTTGCAGACGTCTCAAAACGAAACTTCACTAGCAAAGAAGATACCCATTTGGGAGATACAAGATAGAAAATACTAACCAGTTATCTTAATAAAATATTTCAAATCTTTATATTTTATATGTATTTCTCTCATATTTGTATCTAACATTGGTTGCCATTTATGTGAAATATAAAAGTTTTAAAAATTTCTGTTATAATTTATTACCTAAGAATGTATATACTATCCTAAAATTGATTAGGGGAATGGAAAAAAAAATCAATATTAAATATATATTATTCTTTTTTATACGTAATACCAGCTACAAATTTTTTTGCAGATGTTTTGGCATTGTACGTTTTCCTTTTCCTTTTAACTTGATTCCAAGGATCCACTTTGACTCTAAAAAGAAACGCAATATAACATTTACAATTTACTTGAAGATAAAATAACTAACTCCATAACCTTTGCTTCTACATCCCCATATTTGTCAATGAAACCTTCCCAAAACTTGCTCGACTCACCGCATGTGTCTAACATAAGTTTATCGCTTGGATTTTTCAAGATATTTGAGTCAAACTTTTCTGTTATTAAATCAGCTATAACACAAAGACGATAAATGAAATCATAGTTCAATTTGTGATATAAAACAGTTACTTCTAGAAATAAGTCCTTTCTCCATTTTGTATTCCTCTAGTTCCCTATCTTTCTTTTTAATTAAATCACATAGCATTTTTTGTTGTTTTTCTAAGTAGTTTATTGTATGAATCATGGGAGCCGTAACCTCTTCTGCAAACTAAAATTAAATTTATACAACGATGTTAAAGTGTTAACAAATTACCATACCTTGCTTATATCTTCCTTAAAAAGACTTAACTGATATTTTAGTTTAAACTTAGAATCACTTATCCCAATAACTTCTGATTTCACTTCTAAATCAATTTTATCTTCGGTTCTGTTGATTTGCACTAAAGCATTATCCATTTCATTAAAAATTTTCAGTGTTTGAGAAACTGCCTCTTCAGTTTCTACAACAATATTTGGATTACATTTCTGAAAATTCAAAAGCCATACATTTTTAATAACTCGTCACTCAATACCTCGATAATTTGAATTACCTTAAATTCTGTAATAATATCATCTATTGAAAAATCCTTGGTCCAAACTTCCTTTAAGTCTGATACAGAAATTTTGTAAATACCATCATTGTTAATAATTTTCAATATATATACATCACTTTCAACAATAAAAATTTTCCACATTTTAAAATTTCAATAAAACTCAACTACGGGACAACAAAAACAAAGAATAATTTATTTACTTCGTAAACTATATGGGTTTTCTATGAAATGAACCACAAATCAGTTCACACTGTTCACAGCTGAAAGGGCTGAAACTGAAATAAAAAATTAACAAAATTAGCTGAATTAATAACATTAACCAATTAACCTGAATAAACAATTAATTTAATACCATTTGACCTCCTGACAATCCTGACATCCATGTCATAGAACAAAATAAGTAAAAGAATGTTCTCTTAAGCCCTGTTCGTTAGATACTACTCCTAGTTGCTCCAAGAGATCTTGGATCATGAGGAGTACGGAGCAGTGCGACACCAGATCCATTTAGATCACAAAGTAGAACAGTCAGATCTTGGAGTAATTTGCCTGTGTTCGTTATGACGACTTGAACATTACCTATCATAAAAAATTTTCTGTGATAACCTTTACTTTGATTTGTTTTATACGTGTGTTTTAAGTTTACTTTATCTAAGACATTTAGCAGGTTTTCTTCTGTTTGGTTATACAAAAAGCAAATTTGTTATCCACCACGAATAAAGAAAAATTAGTTTTATTGGCGGAATTACTAGTGGATGAAGGAGAACATGGATTGGAAAATGTATCAACATGTTTAGACGAAGATTATGAATATGTCATAAAAATTTTGTATTAAATAACCGGCAGTGCATTCCCTTATTCTATCAGCTGATAGCTCTACTCCCTTTGATCCAGCACAAATAACAGAGTAACCAAAGCAATGATCTTATTGATCAGAATGAAATACTCCTACATAAACAACACGCGCCATTATTCCATGGCTAGAAATTGGCCTCAATGATTTTGGATCGGGGGGGGATTATCCCTCTTTATCCTGCCTCATCTCGTGTAGGCCCGGACAGCCTTCGTAGGTGGGCCCCATCCGTCGTCTAGCGCGACCGCAAATGCGGCCGGTGTAGGCGCTTTGTGGGACCACATAAACAACAACATACATTTTGTGCTCGGCTTCAAACGAGCATCGATGAAATACTCCAATTAAGTTGGAGTACGTCAAGCAGACGCAACGAACAGGACTTTAGCTTTACATATAGAACCTGAGAGCAAACGAGAACGGCTATTGACATCACCAGAGATATATGGCGATTTCCAATAGGGAAAACGGGCTGCACTCGGGTAGCACTAACACTCCACTGGTTATATGAGAAATATGCTCTGGTGCAATCTCAATGGAATGACAATTTTTGCGTGGGTTTCTGACATTATAGGTTATGTGTATGTTTTGTTTTTATTCAGTCAAAATAACAGTTGACCAGTTGAAGTTTTTCAAAGAAGGTATAGTTACAATGACCCAAGTATTAAATTTGAATTTTAAAATAAACGACGAGGAAGTTACATTGTGTATTCCTGTAGACGAAACGGATCACTTATTTAAGTTTGTAGATGGCATTTTCAATGAATATCTTTCCACTTTTGGCAGTTGTTTGCGTACAACTAGTATAACATACATTTCATCATCACTACTACTACTACTACTTGATAAAAACGATAATAATGGAGCAACAACTTTGTCCATATTTACCGCCATTTTTTCTTGCACTGACACCGGCACCAGCTCCAAGACCTCTTGCGAAATAATATGCACTCAGAGCAAGAACTGTTGCTCTAGTATTCCAATGGAATTTGAAAATTTGGACCGACTTGACCTATAGCGATTTTCATTGATGCATTGAGTGCGTATTCAGTGTATCTCCATCCTGTATTATTTACAGTAATAATAAAAGATGGAAATATACTCGGAGCGCACTCAGTGTGTCAATGGAAATCGCCACTATGGAACGTCAATGGTGCACTCAGTGTGCACCAGTTTTCTCAATGAAAATCGCTAATAGAGTAGTATCTCTGGACATCACTAAACATAATAGCGGGCGGCAAATTCGAATGTCCAGGAAAACTGTCTAAAAAATTGAGAATTTTTTTTTTTAATTTAAGGCAAATTTCTAATTTTGTAAGAAATTTGAAACACAACAAAATCTGTTTTCATTTGTTATTTATACTACAAACATAGATAACCTTATAAACTGAGTAACTACTGTATACACTTTACTATCAAAAGAGGATACCTATATTTTGATAACATGATAACCCTGATTTATAATGAATAACCTTAACCCTTAACCCCTACCCCTAAAAGCAGTAGATAGGTGCTTAGGATTATTTATTTCTTTATCAACTTAAAAATTTGTAATTCAATAAATTTCTAGGAAAATAAGAATGTTATTACTTATAATCGGTATCTAAACTAAATTCGATTAAGCTTTTCATTTGAATCACAAAGCATTTATAGTATGATTTGTTGCCTGAAGGAATAATGTTAGAATTCTCAGTAGTCTCGCAATGAATATAATATGACAAATACATCTATAGTAGAAATAATCGATTTGTGATAATCGAATTTGTTTTTAATTTTCCTTGAAGGTCGGTCTTGCAATTCAATTTCGCGCTTGTAATTTTATTTGCACTCGTTACCAATAAATTTATCTAACGATAATAATTATGATCTTGCATATTTCAACTTGTACCTATTTTGTCTATTCCTAACGATAAAAAGAGAAAAACTACTATTGAACTGCGTAAAGGATATCTTCCACGTTAGTTTCGTCCTAGAGAAGGACGCTGAAGGGAGTTAAATCTTATATTGGAAGGTAACTTTAATCACAGTTATCTATCTATTCTGTAGTCTATTATCATTATCTATTTATGAACTAACTGTAGTGGTGTAAAGGTTCGCCGCGATAATCTCAATTGCTATAATAAATTTTTTACATACTTTAGTTAATTTGTAAGTGCCTACGATTTGATAATGAGTACTGCAGGCAAGGTAATTTTTTTAAATAATTTTTTCATTAGGTTTGATAATATAGTATTTTCAAGGTAATCAGTTGCAAGGCCGCAGTGGCGTGGGGACCTAAAGAGGAGCTGAAGATAGAAACCATCGAAGTAGCTCCACCAAAGAGCCACGAAGTGAGAATTAAGATTCTTTATACCGCCGTTTGCCACACTGATGCATATACCTTGAGCGGCCAAGATCCTGAAGGCCTATTTCCCGTTGTCTTGGGACACGAAGGTGCTGGTATTGTAGAAAGTGTCGGAGAAGGCGTTACAAGTGTTAAGCCAGGTCAGTAATAGATTAATATATTTTTTTGTTGGGTTTTTATAGAATTTTTTAGGTGATCATGTCATTCCTCTCTACGTTCCACAATGTAATGAGTGCAAGTTCTGCAAATCCCCAAAAACGAATTTATGCCAGAAGATCCGTATACCGCAAGGTAGGGGAGTCATGCCTGACGGTACCTCCAGATTGTCTTGCCAAGGGAAAATGTTGCACCATTTCATGGGGTGTTCTACCTTCAGCGAATATACTGTCGTGGCTGATATTTCGGTAGCCAAGGTACATCTTATTAAGTGCTTTGTCTCTTTTGGCCAGCATATATTTTTAATTATTGATTTGTTAGGTGAGCGACGATGCTCCTTTGGATAAAGTCTGCTTGTTGGGTTGTGGAGTACCTACCGGTTATGGGGCAGCTCTCAACACCGCCAAAGTAGAAAAAGGCAGCACTTGTGCTGTATGGGGACTGGGTGCCGTTGGCCTAGCTGTAGGGCTCGGATGTCAAACAGCTGGTGCTTCTAGAGTCATTGGCGTAGATATAAACCCCGAAAAGTTTGAAATTGGTTTGTATTTTTTAATATTAGGTACATTAAGCAAAAAATATACAACAAAACTCTGCAGCAAAGAATTTTGGTTTCACCGAGTTTGTGAACCCCAAGGACTACGAGAAGCCCATTACAGAGGTTCTGATTGAATTGACCGACGGAGGCCTAGATTTTACCTTCGAATGCGTTGGAAATGTGCGCACTATGAGGGATGCTTTGGAATCCTGTCACAAAGGTTGGGGGGTCTCTACTATTGTAGGGGTAGCTGGTGCTGGGCAAGAAATCAGCACCAGACCGTTTCAGTTGGTCACAGGCCGTGTTTGGAAGGGCACAGCCTTTGGAGGTAAAAACATTAATTCAGCTACTGAAAATTAAAGTGGTTATATAAGTATTGGGCTCCTTTCGTAAGGGATGATTTTTAAGCTCGCAGAGATTTTTTTAATGAAAAAATTTTGAATGAAATTTGCGAAATTAAAAATTAAAATGGAAGTAGCGGAACCTGATATTACAGGTTTGCACATATATTTGTAAAATATATCTCTTTTCATAATCAATTAATCGTTAGTCAGGTGTTTTTTTTTTTCAATTTTTCACAATATTGTTCTTTGTAGTTACACCTTTTTAAATTTCATAGTGTCATTCTGTTTTTTAAATTTCACTTTAAGAGATGAGAATTTGTGAAATAAGCCTAGAAATCATCTAAAAAACTGTTGTCCCACACTTTTATTTATTATTAAAATATGAATAATTTAAATTTCAGCAGCCATCACTGGATTAATAATAATCTGTTACGTTATATTTTATTTTTTGCTGCTACTTATTGCCAATACAGATAAGTGTACAAAGCATTACTTTGTACTTATTGACTGAGAGTGACCTACAAATGTGTAGACGCTACGGAAGCATGACTACTCTTGTATTACGCAAATAAACTTTTTAACTAATGATATTGTTGAAAACAACTGCTGTGTAGACTAAAGCCCATTCTGCATTGAATTGTAGGTGTAATTAAATGTTGACCGGGGCTCTAGTCTGCAGAGTAGTTGTTACCCACAATATTGTTAGTTAGTAATCCGTTACTTGAACATTATTCCTACTAGCATGTCAATATATCTTAAGCGTAACTTTTAAACTAATCTTTTTTTTAATTACACATTTTTCATGAATTGTTCGTGTACTTTTTATTAAATCAAATAAATCCTAAATATGTTTTGAATTTCCGTCAAAACAACATACTTCACGTCTTGCTTATGGCAGATGTAAGACTAAATTTCTTTTACACATTTAACTTTCAATGTGTTTTTTACATTGATCCATCAAGGTGTAAGTCAGATAAAATGTTTAATGCAGTCATTAATTTGATAGTCATAGCTCGACGTTTTAAAATTTCTTTTGATGTGTTGCTGCCCACAAGAATACCAAAAAGACACGAAACAAAACGCAAGTTTCACTCCATGACATAAATCCCGCAGGCCCCATTATTATGTTGTTTTATAATGTACTGAAACGACAAACTGTAGTTATAACGAGTGGAAACAAGGGTAAAAAATAATTACTTTGAAGCTTTGCAATATCATTCAATAATTCCAATATGACATGTATTTTTATATACAGGTCGTTTCAGAAAAACCTACCGTAAATACAGGAGGTGATAGTATGACAAAAAATAAGAATTTTTTGTCTTATGAACTATATGTTTATCTTCTCTTGTTTTCGAGATACAGAGTGACAAAATAAAATTTTTTAAATATAATTTTTACGAAAATTTCCAAACAGTGCGAAATATTTTTATGAAATTTGGTATTCCGGGGTTTTTAAGGATGCCAAATACGCTGGTCTAATTATTTTTTGGATATTCCATAGAGGGCGTTAGTTATGCTACATTCCTATTACATACATTTTAAGTTCTAATTTTTTTAAGGTTAGGTTTTTACCATTCGGGCTCCAATTTATAATGTACAATTTTATTTTCTAAAAATAATGTACTCTTGTTAGAACTTCGTAATGTGGATAGTTTTTGAGAAAAATGCTTTTAATTAAACTTTAATTTTTCTCAAAGTAGGCTTATGGCAAAACTTATCGATGGATATCTCATAAACACCGCATACTTTCTTAGAAATATTTTAAACCCTAATTAACCTTATATCAAAATTTTAGTGACTATAATTAGTCATTACTAACTACAGTCACTAACAATCACTAAAATTTTGATATAAGGTTAGAGTTTAAAATATTACTAAGAATGTATGTGTTGTTTATGGGATATCCATCGATAAGTTTTGACATAAGCCTACTTTGAGAAAAGTCGCTTATTTTATACACCGTAATATTGTAAGGTTTAATTAAAAGCCTTTTTTCTCGAAAACCGTCCACATTAGGAAGTTCTAACAAGAGTACATTATTTTTAGAAAATAAAATTGTACATTATAAATTGGAGCCCGAATGGTAAAAAACCTAACCTTAAAAAAATTAGAACTTAAAATGTAATAGGAATGTAGCATAACTAACACCCTCTATGAAATATCCAAAAAATAATTAGACCAGCATAGTTGGCATCCTTAAAAACCCCGGAATACTAAATTTCATAAAAATATTTCTTACCCTTTGAAAATTTTCATAAAAATTTTATTTTGTCAATCTGTATCTCGAAAACCAGAGAAGATATATAGCTCATAAGACAAAAAATTCTGATTTTTTGTCGTACTCTCACCCCCTGTATTTACGGGAGGTCTTTCTGAAACACCCTGTATATTTTTTTTATACTGTGTGGATATTTTGTCTATGGAGCTATTTCTTTAGCATACCTATATATTTGATGTCCAAAAGTATACAGGGTGTCCCCGAAAGGTTAGGTCACCACTCGGTGTTCATAGCTGAGCAGTAACCAGATCTTTCTGGGACACATGAAACTAGGCATAGAACATAAAATATAAGACTTTATTTCTATAGGTCATGGACTGATCATCATTTATCAGTTTAGGGTCAAAGATAATTTTTTTAAATCAAGTTTTAGCCATATTTTATCCAAAAAAGAAAGTATTGTATTGAAAATTGATACACGTAAGTTTTCGAGTGTCGAATGTTGATATTCTTAGTTTCTGAGCATCTACTAGATGGCGCTAGTCATGACTTTTTTTGGGGTTAGGTTTTTTTTATAGAGAACCTCGTATACTTACCATAAATTAAAATTTAATTTTACACAAAAACTGTTTTTGAGAAAAACAAAATTGTGTATTCCAAAGTCAGTCCCTATTTTTTATTGTACAGGGTATTTGGAAACAAATGGGATATAATTCTGGAGTAGCTTACTTAACTGAATTTTGCTTGCTTAAAGGACATTGAAAAAAATATATTTTTCTATTAAATTGCCTTTAAAGGGTAACGCCACTCTAGAGGTTGGGAAAAATGTGATTTTCGTGAATTTTCGAGGTAAAATCGATGTAAGAGATAGTGTCAGGAGCAAAAAAGCTTTTGACATGTTTTTGTAAATTTTTTCAAATGATTTGGATTCAAAATGGCGGCTGTATGTGTTGGAAAGCAACGACACCATTTTTTGATAGTTTTTTTCATCCAAGTGAGGATAAAAAATGTTTATGCCAAATTGAACCCTTTAATATTCTGCACCTACAGTTAGCAGCTATTTAAAATACATCACACCCTGTATATCTTTATTTGTGGAGAATTTAGGAAAATGTTTAGAATTAATTACGTTGCTCGACTTGTTATAATGATTGAAACAATTTCCTATAAGTAACGTTGTTCAAGGTTGGAAAAGCCGAGAAAGCGTACCCAAACTGGTGGAGGATTACCTAGCGAAAAAATTGAAACTAGACGAGTTTGTTTCCCACTTTCTTACATTCGAAAAACTAAATGAAGCATTCCATCTCATGCACAAGGGTGAAAGGTAGTGTTACGCAGAATCCTTAAGAGGGCTCTATAGCAAATAGCCAGCCAGCAATACATTTTTATAGATTTTATTACACAGTTTGTCTAATTATGAATTAATGCACAAATAACAGACTTTCCTCCATTCTAACGCAGATTTCCTACAAAATGGACTTAGTTTGAAACTCAAATCACTTTTTGGTGTAAACAATTTTGAACAAGAGATATTGAAAATTGTGTAATAAAATCTATAAAAATGTATTGCTGGTTGTCTATTTGCTGTAGAGCCCTCTTAAATAGAATACTATTGTAATACGATAAATTTTTTTGTTTTAGCATCCGCACGGTTCTGTCCGTTGCCCAATAATTTCCGCTTACTAGCTTAGCGTTGGTCTTGGTTGCACGTTACCTGATATTATTCCTGTCACTTTTTATTGGTTATTAAATAAAACTTTATGCATTTTCTAACAATGTTTTATTTTAAGAAAATAGTTTTTTAAGTATCAAAAATAACGAATAAACAGAAAACAGAATTGCCTTACGTGGCATAATCAAAAACAGAAAACAAAATTCTCTTACAGCTATTTATCAACGTAAAATCACATAAATACGAAATATTTTTAAAGTGTCCAACTCTCTCCTCAGTCCGCCATTCTCTGTGCTACCGTCCTACAAATAAAGCTGTTATTAATTGAAATTAGCAAACACGCAAATTCCCTGTCATCGGCAAGTGACTTTAGAGACCTTTGTGTTAAGACATTGACGATGGACAGTCCTACTTCCTCTTTCAATGCTTCCGGCAGGTGTTTTAGAAGTCTGCAGACACCTTTTGTGATGTCCACTTCCACCGCCTCCGTCGAATCTGACTGGATACTCTTTGGAAAGGACATAATTAGTGTCATATAAATTGTTTTAAATTGAAAACGATAACTTTGCTATCATGCATACATGGTGTCCGCAAACTTAATGTGATGACAATTGTGATAATTTTGACATTAAAAGGCTGTCAGTATACGAATTAACACATAACCTAAGTTTGATCCTTCTACAGTGGGATCCCAAAATAATAGGCAGCGATTTCATCTTTAATCCGGCACACCATTTTTAACAGTCAAAAAGAGAAGTATGAGTACATTCTTCGTATAAAGTTGTATGCGCCGCATTCTCACAGAGCAGTTTTAGGACATTTTTCTGTTGCAGATTCTAGATTTTCACTGGTGTTTGGTGTGTGATGTCAATTGGGTTGCATTTATTCGGATTCGGGTAATTCTGTCAGCACAGGCAAAAAGGTGTACGCGCGAGACAAGTAACAATTGTAATTGATTTATTAGTGATTTTGGGTTTTTCGTCTTAAAAATGGAGAGTAATTCAAGCTGGATGGTATTTTAAAAAAGAGCTTCAGACAAGGAAAAAAATTCAGGCTGCTGTCTCGCAGGATCAAACTGTCCAGAATATCTAGAAAGGTGCTTTGGGAAACAATGCATGACATGAAAATTTCCGTTTTATAAAACGAAATCGAAAGGGTATGCGATAGAAACGGAAGAAATACGGAGAAGAAACTATTTATTAGAGTATTAGAAACTTGAAAACTAAGTCGTAGAATATATTACAAGAACAAAACAATAAATGAAGGTCATACGGTGGCAAAAGTGTGGCACCATGGCAATATCGGAAGCAAATGGCAGGCATTTCTGGAAGGATTTTCGACTGTATTAAAGTCACCTTTTGGAAAAGGGCGACGCCTAATAATAATAACGCATATTGGAAGTACAGCAGGATTTTTGGAACAGGGTGTATACAGGGCTGGAAAATCCACATGGTCCATCTTCCTTTACATGAGAGCGACAAAGTAAAGTAAAGAAATCCGTGCGATAGACAAGGATGGCTATAGTGAAGACCTTTCATAATTTGAATAGTCACGGCCCGTTTCGGATTAGAAGTGGGAGTGACTATTCAGATTATGAAATGTCTTCAATGTAATCATCCTTGTCTATCGCACGGATTTCTATGACTTACTTTATCGCTCTCACGTAACGGCTGATGAACCATGGGGACTTTCCAAACCTGTATACACTGTGGCTACGATTTAGGTGAAACAGGCCTATAATTCAGGTGTTAATTGACGAATCCTTTTCAAATTTTAACCACTTATGCAGACCGATGGGGTGCACATTTGAGAATCATTAAACTCACATATATCCATAGGTGCGCATTAGGGGAAATTAAAAGGGGATCGATTTTTCAGTATTTTTTATTTGCGAATAAAATACGGAAATGCTGATGCCTTAGTCTTAATCAGCATCATCGAAAATATACCCATGGCAAGTTTCATCCAAATCGTATACAGGGTTGTACAGAAAATTCATTTAGTACAAAAATTAACATTATATCTTGTATCCCCACAATAATGCAAAATCCAGTGATCCATGCCAAATGATTTTGTTATTTTTGTCATTTCATTTAAACAAAATCATTTGGCATGGATTACTGGATTTTGCATTATTGTGCGGATACGAGATGCAATGTTATTTTTTGTACTAAATGAATTTTCTGTACAACCCGGTATACGATTAAGGTTAAGTCTATAAGCTTTTTAAAGTAAATATTCACCATGAACTTATTTTTTATAATTTTCTGTTTTTTGAACCCTTCTCAAGTAGTCCGCCTATGGATCTTGTCCCCTGCACCCCTTACCTCCCGTATTAGTCTAAGTGCTGGATATGAATCACTACCCATTATTATGGAACACGGGTATAGATAAATGGCGACCTGAACAATAAAAAAAAATAATGTCCAAGGAAGCATTTTTGGATAAGACGATTCATGTCAAATTGATATAAAATCATTCCTAGAATTTGCCGTCTTTGTTTGTCCGTTTAATTTCTGGACACCCTGTATAATGAGTTATAATTCGATGCAAAATATTTAACCAAAGCTTCTGATCAAAACGCAGCAATTAACCAAACACATCTCACTACCAAAATGCTTATAAAAAGTTACAGGCCTTCAACGAGTTTTCCAGTATTTTTATGAAACTTGGCATAATATTTTTTTACCTAAAGTATAGAGATCTAAAAAATATCTATTGAAAATACTTCTTACCTGAAGAGCATTTCCGTACAGCTGCAAACAATACTTCAAGGCGATAATCAACTGCTTCCCAGTATTACTATCGGGAGCCTGTGTCTCTACCACTTTACACAACAATATCATCACATCTGTCAGCAGTTCCATAGCCTTTTCACTTCCGCACAGGGAAAATATCTCTTGCATTACGTTCAACCATTCACTGCTTACGGCACGAGGCAGAAACTGAAAAATTTTCAATGATAATTTTTACGATACGAAATTATTTAAAAGATACAGAAATAATCAGTCGCCGCAAAAGTAGGGATAAATAATTTAGTTACCTGTAAGATCCGATTTACACAATCTGCATAGTTTTCGGTGCTAAAATCACTGTATAAACTTCGTAAAAGTGTTGAATCAGTCTTAGAGGAAAGGAACTTTTTATAATAATTGGTAAATTCATCTTTATATTTATCTGCAGGAGTATGAGATTCATCTAGAAATACAAGAAATAATAAGGCTATTAAGTTTTAAGAGTGATTTTATTATGGCGAAGTACGGTGCGCTACGTGCGGTTCATGAAACTACGTAATGGGAAGCCTTCCGAACAAAATTTCATCAGTACACTGTATCTACCACAAAGTTATTTTTGTGAAACTATTTTTCGATAATCATGCAAATACACATTGAATAGTGTAAAACAATGAAGTTCACATCCGACTGTGTTCCTGTGGTTAGGGAGATTTCATGTTTGAAACATTCTGAAACGAGTCTGAACATTCTGATGGTTGGTCGACGATCACACTTGCCCTCTCTTCTTGTCGTCGTGTACACTGTCTCGGCCATCACGAAACTTCCTGACCTACAGGAACACAGTCGGATGTGATACACACTCCTCACCGTACACCTTTGTAACAGTTAATATGTTTCCATCTCTGTCTTACGGACTTTAAAACAGAACTTGATTGCTGTACGCTGTTCAATGTGCGTTTCCATGACAAATATCAAAAACTCGCTTCACGGAAAACGTTATAACTTCATAGTAGATACACGTATACTGATGAAATTTTGTTCGATCGCTCAGAAAACTCCCCACTGTGTAGTTCCATTGACCGCACATAGATAGCGCCACACAATTTGCCACAATAAATTAAGTCTTAAAACTTAATAACCAGATTGTGCATATTATTTTTAATATAAAGTTCAATATTTCCCGAGACATAATTCATTAAGAACTATTTCTGTTTGGCAACATTTATTATTTATATTCATTGTAATAAATGCCCATTTTCAGATAACGTGTGGTTCCAAAAAACAGAAATTGTTAAAGTTACTTTATGGATTTAATTAAAAGTTAAAACACATTCACTCCTACGTCAGTTTTTGGCGGGATTTGCTAACACAGCCCAAAGCTATTGCTTCATAAATTTTCAAATGACAAAATTTTAAAAAATATTAGAGTATTGCAAGTCACACATCAGGAACACGATGGTGCCGAAAAAAGACCATGTTACACCGATGCGACGCTGGGCCCACAGTGGAATTTCACATATCTGTGACAGGACTCGATTTTACGATTTTTACGTGTCATGTGGGAGGGAACGCGTTAAAATTTGACTGTGACATGCGATTTTAATAAAAAATTAATTGATCTGAACATGGGTAAGTATACAAAATATTAATAAGAATTTCACATTTGTCTGCCAAAGTCCCACTGGTATCACTAACTGTATCAAATTTATTAAAATAAACTTTCCAGCATTTTGATGTACCTAAGTGAAAAGTGGCAATGACGGGTTACAAAAATTAAAGTGGTTATATTTTGGTAATGAAGGCCCACATAGAGAACTTTTGTGAAAAAATTCCGACTGGAATTAGCAAAATAAAATATTAAAATATGGGTGGTGTGTCTGACCACCATCTCAAAAAGGGTTGCATATACAGGGTCGGAAAGTCCCCATGGTTCATCGGCCGTTACATGAGAGCGATAAAGAAAGTCATAGAAATCCGTACGATAGAGAAAGATGGCTATAATGAAGGCGTCTAATAGTCACCGCCCATTTTGCCCTTCCACAAAAAGATCCACTTCCTATTTGTGGAAGGGCGAAATGGGCGGTGACTATTAGACGCCTTCATTATAGCCATATTTCTCTATCGCACGGATTTCTATGACTTACTTTATCACTCTCACGTAACGGCCGATGAACCATGGGGACTTTCCGACTCTGTATATGTGAAAAATATATCTGGCAAACTCTAATAATAATAAATTGAAATGTTTATTATTGACCGCTATCCCAGGAAATATTAAACTTCATAAAAAAGTGATAAATAACAGTGAGGAAATTATTATTCTAGAACAAAAATGTAAATTAAATGGTAATCAATAAATTTACAGAAAAGAAGAAGTGAAATATATCAATATATTACTTTCAAGGTCGTAGTTTGGGTGTACTTCGCACAAACTCTTGATGATGTCAACAGCATAGGCAGTGGTTTGCTGCTTAACAACATTTAGTTCTAAAAAGGTACAACGACATTCATCCATTATAATCAGTAGGACACATCTTACTTTGGTCATTTCAGAATTTGCTGGAATTTTAAATGAGCAATCCTGAAAAAAAATTAACCCTTTTTGTATTTTTCCTCAATGGAGTCAAAATTATAATTTTTTATTTTTACAATAATGACCTTTCTTGTAGAACAATTAGAAAACAAAACATAATTCGCATGCTGATGATGATTAAGATCATGATTAAGACTGTTTTATATTTTTGACTCAATAAACTGATGAACAAATGTGCCAAGTTATATAAGTACGAGGGTAGCCTTTTATATTTCGGGAATAGAGAACAAAAATAGAAATTAATCATCGTATAAGGCTTTATTGTTTTTAAAATATTCTCCATGAAGATCAATACACTTTTGCACGAGTTTGAACCAATTTTCAAAGCACTTTTTCCATTTCGATGGAAGTACCTCCAAAACATGCATTTTTAATGCATCAACCACTTCTTCAGGCATCAAAAAACGTTGACTTCGTAATTTATTTTTGATGTGCGGAAATAAAAAAAGTAATGGCGGGCCAAATTAGGGCTGTACGGCGCATGATTCATCAATTCGGCTTTTCAGTTCTCAACAGGTCTTTTGTTCGAACCGAAGAGCTCATATTGTTATGGTGGAGAATGATCTTCGGCATCTTCAGCCTCAATCTCACGATAAGCCACATTAGTCCTGTAGCCAGGGGGGTCCCAATTGCCTCCTTTATTTAGGTGGAGTTACTCAAGTGTTTTTTGTGTATTTTGAGCTGCAGAAAACGCATTTTTTGGGTAGAAGTTTGCCCTGATGTCGATAAGTTTTTTATTAACAAAAAACTTGCAAAATACTGAGAACTTAGTTTTTGGCAAGATAAAAAGTATTTTCTTGTTCTTTGATCCATTTTAAGAAGAAAATGTCTCCTGTTAAACGCATAGTTTTCGAGATAAACACCGCCATGTATGTAAGAAAGCGGCTGTCTTCTTACAGGGGTTTAATACACGATCTTGACACATACTCTTCATTTCTAGACCAAAGAAACGATGAAAACTGAACGAAACATTAACAATTTAATGAAAATTTGCAATATAACAATAATTAAAATTAAAATTTTTTTGACAAATAATGCAAAAATCTGATTTAATTAAACTATTCATCTTGTAACATGAACATTAATAATTCTTTATCTTTAGTGCAATTTTGAAGCGCAACTGGCAAATTTTTAAAGAAAAAATTTGATAGATGCAAGGGTCGGCGGAGATGCTAGTAACTCTTTTCAGGAGTATAATATCATGGGGTTTTTTGGTACCTGTAAAGGGCATAGGTAACGCTAAATTATGGTATACCAACAAATTAAAACATTTAATACTAGGTGTTTCATTTTTGCTGGTACATTTTGATAACTTCAAACAACTATAACTTTAACTTAAATGGAACACCACCCTATATTTTTTTACTCTGTCGTATGCAGATTGAAATTTCCTTTCAAGCCATATAAGCATTGTTAGGGTTGCCGTTACTTCTTTTAGAGATATTTGCAATTTTCTATTTTTTGGGCAGTTTTTCTCGTATCAGACCTGTTGTCAAATTTGTCTTTACCAGAAACACTCCAAAAACAATTGAAATAACATGACATTTGTCAAGTTAGTTGTCAAATAATTATTGTTGCGTCTGAATAGTTTTGCCGAAAATTTAAATAAAATGCGTGAAGATCGTTTAAATTATGCTAATCAAGATTATTTTAATTTTTTGTTATTTATGGAAAATGTGACAAAGTAATTTCAAGAACATGTAGAGAATCTGACGCTCTTTTGGAAAATGTGACAAAGTAATTTCAAGAAATGCATGTTGAATGCTGATTTTTTCCATAAATAATAAACAAATTAAAATAATTCTTATAAGTATAATTTAAACGATACCCAGGCATTTTTATTTGGTAGTGCTGGAGAGTTCTAAATATTTTAGTTGTGGTCGTCCCAGGAACATTGCCATGTTGCCAAATTTTCAAATTTTTGGAGCAGTATATTTCGACTGACGTAGTTCTCTGGACACCCTGAATGCAGTGGTTTTTGATGGTACGTCATTGTCGAAATAAGTTCATCGATGCACTGTTGCTGAGATAATCCACACTTGAAAGTTGTAAAAAGTAATTGCAGTGAAATGTACACGACTTAATTCCATTTTTTTGACCGAGACGAATTTTTCAAGTCACTGTAAACGACACAAATCAAAAGTTCTGAGTAAGTATACCGATAAAAAGTTAAACTTTACGATAGTGATGTCGGTTATTAGATGGCAGCACCAGGATCATCTAGTCCTGACTTATAAAAGACAACCCTCTTAGTACGCGCTATACACAAATTATGGAAAAATTTTTGGCTTCCATAAATTGGTCTATTTAAATTTTTTAGTAATTTTTTTTGTTACAATATTTTACAATTTTAATATTTGTTTTTATTTTATAGTATATTACGTAATAAGTGTTGTAAAAAGCATTTTACGCACGAATGGAAAAGTTACGCACGACGCCGCGTAGGGGTGAGTGCGTAATTCTATGAGTGCGTAATTGCATTACACCACGTATTACGTACTACGAGTATACTTTACCTACGACCACTACTTTAAATTCTTAAAAACACACTGTCTACGATCAATGCAAGATTCCTATTACGTCGTACGGTAAAAAAATCGCACAGCTTGGTAAAAAAATCGTACAGTTTTCCTAGCAACGGTCAATACAAACAGTATTGTATTGACCGTTGCTAGGCGGTTGCTAGGAAAACTGTGCGATTTTTTTACCGTACGTAATAGGAATCTTACATTGATCGCAGACGGTGTGTTTTTAAGTATTTACAGTAGTGGTCGTAGGTAAAATATTTAATTGACATGTTTGTTATTGCAGTTGCATTAGTAGTATAGTTTGGTCTGCTATTATCATAATTCATTTTTATTGTAAAAGATAGTTCTAGGATACCCTCAAATACCAATAGACTCGCCAATTTGTGACTGTTGAAACACATATGTTTGTTTTCTTAAGTTCACGAATTGTCACCATTCTTTGAATCAAACATTGTTAACCATATTAGATGTTTGTCCTGCATTTTCATTTAGAGAGAATTAAAAAAAAAAAACTTACCAACAAGATTTGTAAAACATAACCTAACTGCTCAAACTCCATTTCATTCAAGAGAAGAGACAGCAGTGGAAGAAACAAGACATTGACTATGTTGTTACTTCTCAAGTAACCCATTTCTTGTAATTTCAAGAACAGAGCGATGTAGTTATCAACATTGTTAGCATCAGGCCGATTGTCTAAAATGAACTGCCATAAACAATCAAGGATGAAATTCTTTATGGTCACGATTTCTCTTATGGCGGCAAACAACTTTTCATAACACTTGATGTAACATTTATTTCTTATACATTCGAAAAAAACCGCCTTCAATACGATACCGGGGCCCTGCAGCAACAATAAACACATATCCTTGATGAAATCTTCATCAATATCTGTCTGACCGTTCATTTTATTGAAGATTAACTTCAACTGAGCCTCGACTCTATCAGTATCAGTCACAAGTACGTTAAAGTAGTGTTCATAAAAGTGTCTTGTCGAGATCAAAATCAATTCTTGCAGAATTAGTGTTGAGGCGCATTTTACAGCTAATTGCTTTGCCTCATCTTTTCCTGACTGACAACTTAATTTAAGCAACCTTGCAACATCGTCTTTATCACAGAGATGTGCCCAAGTATGAACGCACTTCATGGCATCCTCATTGTTGAAGATTTGGGTGCCGAGTACAGCTTTAAACCAAGCTTGCTGATCTTGGTCTTTCATATGGACTTTCTTGATCATTGTTGGAGTGTCGGCAGCCTGGATGCGTTCAGCTAAAGTTTTGGGTTTTTTGGCAATTGAACCTAGCATATTTATTAATTCTATGGCTCCATTGTATTTTTGGTATTCCTCTACTACTTGGTACGCCTTACCGGCTACAACACTTTGTAGTGGCTCCTCGCCTTCGTTAACCTGAAAAAAACATGACACACTGCTTCTATAGCACAACTAACGGTTGTTGCTTGGATTATTTTAACCCAAAAACTCTTAACAACTCAGGGGTATAAAGCCACTGGTTTACAAGACACAAAATGATTAATTTAAAAAAACTACAACAACAACAACAATAATAATAAATCATATGTATTTTCAATTTTTTTTATAAATACATAAATTCCAAAATAATAGGCAAGAATCGGTTAAACTGCTTTATGACTTTACACTAATGAAAAAAGAATAAGTCTAAACAAGTAACATCTAATGATAGCAGGAACATACAAAATACTAAATTACAAGTGAAGAATGATATAATCATTAAATACTTACATGTACACGTACACTTACTATGTTCAATTAATTACGAAATGAATAAAAAGCTAATGCTAATGACCCGTACATATATTGAGACAACTGAAGCAATTTGTAAAAATATAACTTTTTACTAACCTCTGCCCAAGAACAGTATACGTTTATAGTAACGTTTTGAAGTAAGGTACAGGCTGTCCTAAGAACATTTTCGATAAACTGTTTCAAAATAATGTTTTCCTTATCGCAGTATAACAGTAACTCGAACAAACTTAGTAAACTGTACCCCATATGTTGATATATTTGAACGGCCTTTAAATTTTTTACGTGACCTGGATGTAAACCAGTTAACAACAGCAAAATCATATTTGTTACTTCCGTAAGCTTAAAAACATCATACTCGTCCTGAAATTAAAGAATTTTGTCAACAATAAAAATTTATAAAAAATTATAACATGCCTTTTCTGAAATCTTATCTGAAGAGAGTTTTATTACAGCTGCTCTAAGGAACATCACAGCATATCGCAGTTGAGTATTTGGAACAGACTTTTTCAAACAAGGAACTATTTCTTCCAATAATTCTATTCCATAATTTATCGGTAACTTCTCAATGACTTTGCAGTAATATTTACACAGATCTAAACCATAAACTATGTTAGCTAAAACGCATTTAGACAGTTGTGGCATTATATTGATTAAATGATCGTAATCTGCCAGTTCTAGTGGTTTTTTGTATTTAGTATTAATAGCTAGGAATAAAACGATATCTTCTACTTGTTTATCAACAATGCTATTAATTTTTCCACCTTTGACATAGTTTTTGCTACTAATGTGCTTTTGAATTTGTTCAATAATTTTCAAAATCTTTTCTTCGTTTCCTAAAAGAAATATCCGCCTTTTTCAAAAAACTAACCTAATCATTATTTTAGAACCCACCTCCTTTATAATTTATCTTTGTAAATTCTCCAGTTATTTTTATAACATTTATTAAAATGCCCTGTATGGCCACTAAATCATCCGTTAGTTCCATTTTTTGAATGATATACTTAGAATATATTTATTAAATTTGTATTCCACAATATTAAATGACACTATTGGAAGAAAGTAAAAAATAACAAATAACAATCAAAATCAACAATTCAACAATTGTGTGAATTCTGTGCTCTGTGGTCACAAAACAATAATAGATCTGTGAGTGGCGCCGCGCCATTATTCTATGGCTAGAAATTGGCCTCAATGATTTGGGATCGAGGGGGATTATCCCTCTTTATCCTGCCTCATCTCGTGTAGGCCTGGACAGCCTTCGTAGGTGGGCCCCATCCGTCGTCTACCCCGACCGCAAATGCGGCCGGTGTAGGCGCTTTGTGGGACCTCCTTTTGTCCTGGCTGGGCCCCGCCGGCTAGGGCCCTTTCTTCTGGCGCTCTTCTTGCTTCGCCGGCTCGTCTGTGTAAACCCCGGGGGTAGTGTCATGTTTATGTGTGGTATGGTTGGGTAGGGTAGTGCGGCTATGCAGCCTGGGATGCGCTTTGCTAAGGTGGCCCTTAGGCTAGCGCGGGAGGG